ACGTTTATATATTAATCGTCTTTGTCAATTTTTCAGTAATAAAGGGCCAAAATTCTATTGAATGAAATAAAGTCAATAACAGTCACGAAAACAGCCATAAAGATATAAGTAGGAGATAGATAAAGTATAACGAAAAATGAGTTCCATTTTAATTAGATTAGTTATGTCTTGTAAAATTTCATTTTTGGTTTTTTTTTTCATCACGACAACATTAAAAATCCACATAATATGGGAGAAATCTGAAAAGTATCTCATTTTTGGAAATTGAAAGAAATGATAAAATAAAACACACTAAAAATCCTGTATACGTAAATTCCATATGGACATATACACACAATGACATATATATACATTCAAACAAAGGACAGTTGAAAACACGAGGGGAGGGGTGAGAAGAAGAAAAAGAAAAAGAAAGAAAGAAAAGAGGAAATAAGTTACAGAGAACAAAATCTGGGGTCTGATTCAATAAAACTAAAATATATGCTTTCTTTTCAAATGTCAAACAATCATAATCAGTATAATCAACAGTTAAAAATCACGTATATATGTATATAATTTAACTTAATAATTGAAATATCTGGAGGGGTTGTACAATCATAGAAAATCATTTGATTATTCTTTTTTTAACTTTTCATGTGACTAGGATGTTATTATTAAAAATGGCATGTAACCAATTCGACCAGGGAAAACTTTCAACTGGTATTTAAACTAATGTTCAACTTGTCTATTGTATATCATAAAGAGTCATCAATGTTTAATAAAGTGTGTATGACTCTTGTATAATTAAAATAAATCGGACACTATACAGTGTGCAAGTTGTATTTTATTTTCATTAAGGTTTTAAGGCTTTTGGTGCTTTATTTTTTACCATAATAATTTCCTAAATTCTAAATAGTGTATATGAAATCATTAAGGGTAAGCAGGATTTTTATTTTCCGAGCCAAACATGATTATTAGGATAGTTAATTTTTTTATTATTTAAAATCACGCCACAGCCGAATCGGTACAAAATTGTTAAGAGATTTAAGAGCCTAAACTTTTGAGCTAAAAACCTATACAAAAAGCTATCAAATATGTAAGACTACAGGTAATAATCTTATTTTGTACAATAAAATATAAAGTTTGTCCACTACGAATGTTGTTTATAATGGATATCACTTAATAAATCACCACTCCAATTGTAATGAGTTACAGCTGATGATTGTAGTTAGAGATTGTCATGAGTTCAATGGATCGATGTGAACTTTGCATGATCAAATTTTATTTTATACTGATACACGTGTGACAGTAGGTCACTACGCACAACAGCGATTGTCCTAAAGTTTTCAGCTCGTCATGTGATCACTTATTCTTTTTCTTAAATCCAGCTTTCTGTTAACTCTCTTTATTCCAAAAATCCAAAAGTTATGCTTGGATGTCACTGACATTACCTTGAAATGGAAGATGTGTGAAACAATATGACCTTTGGAAACTTTCAGAGATGTTCTGAATGAATAAAATGAAGACGGAGTATTACTAATAAGAGATGTTTGTATTATGGAGTATGATTAATATTTGACTAGTTGTTTGCTCATTGTGATAACATTAATGAAAATGGCACTTCAAAGTTTAAATAACCGAAATTTTATTCTATTTATCGTAATGACAATTGAATATCTGTGGAGATTTGTTGCAAACTCAAGATAGTTTTTATCATGAAATTACATCGGCCGAAGACTTATACTAGATAACCAGGTATTAACTGGCTATTACAAAATGCTTTTTGTCTATTTTTAAACTTATGAAGATTTGCGCAATGAAGACTGTAAGGTATTAGAAAACAAAAAGTTATTTCGCTAAGTGCTTCATGAGACTTAGACTCTATTTGTTGGTCCTAGTTCTCCATTGACTAGACTTTGATAAGTATCTGTTGGATAGGTTTAAATATCACCTCAATCACCATGTATTTGATCCGAATATTATTTAAAGCAATTAAAGTTCACTACACGAGCTTCCCATTCAGATCTTATCAAAACTAATTCAGGCGAATGTGAGTCAAATATTTTAGGAAACAAAGTCTTACTGATAGGTCCTGCGTTCGAATCCCGCAGGCGAGATCGTCGATACACACTGCTGAGCAGTCCTATAATAGAACGAAACGGCTTCCAAGTCTTCTATGTAGGTCTAACTTCAACTGACTCATGATCTCAACTATTGAAACTCTTACGCGTTGAATAATATTGATGAGATTTTTACGAATTAATATCATGTTCCAGTTTCATTATAGCTGTTAGTTTACTAAAATGAAAATACATTTTATTTTACTGCTTAGTAAATTTTCATATGAAGAACTTTTTAAAAAAAGATACAGTTGTAGTAGAAAATCCTTTGCATATGACTGCCGATATACAATGACAATATTTCTCATTTAAACATATGACTATATAGTTCAACTATAATGCAAACGTTCATAAATAAATCATATATATTTACATCACAATAATATATATATATATATATATATATATATATATATATATATATATATATATATATATTATTCTGGTGAATATACATTTGAATTCCTGATATTTGGCGACTTATTTTAAGCTTTCTCTTCGGATTAAATAAAATACATGAAATATGTTCACACTTTTATTTGATAAGTTGCTTGTGATGCATTTCTGAAGATAATTGAATACGGTTTATTCTGTTATATAACATTCGGTGTATGTTTTTATCAACCACGAACTTGACTTCAACTAATCAATAAATACAGAAAACTACTTTAGTTCAGTTGACAAGTATAGAAAAAGTGAAAAAAAATCTAGACATTTAATATCCTTTTTCAGTGTATAGTGGATGAATTAGATGATAAAATAGAGGACAGTAGGTGAAATCCCTTTAAAAAAATGAAGCAAAGTTTTGATTAATACACCTTTTATATCTGCAGTTCTCCTTAGAAGTTTATATAAATCCTTAGCAAAATACTATATAAAGAGTTTTCAAAGATATAATGACTTTCTTGAGATACATCTATGTTGTTAACACCTATCGTATAATCAGAATGAGTTTTGTGGAGGTTTTAGGAAATTTCACAGGTTGAAATCATGAGTCAATTGAAGCTAGACCACCATGGAAAACCTGGAACCACTGGACGGCCGTTTCGTCCTAGTATGAGACTCCTCAGCAGTGCGCACCTATAGTATAAGATAAAACTGCAACACCATCCTGTTTATATAATGATGAAATATGTATGTGTTAAATGATTATTCTACAGAAATAAGAATACTGTTGAGAATATTTTAAATTAAACAAGTCTACTAGAATATCTTGTATAATTGTTCGTACAAATAGCAAAACTTTACAATGCAATTAATCCAAAGTAAAAGATTTCTGTCCTACTTAAACAAGTCCACGAAGTTGTGTATATCGTTTCTTGAGTTTGACTGTTGATATCTTACCTCTTCATATAAATAACTGTGAACTACGAGTTATATTAGAAATGAACTAAATCCGTACAATTATAACAAGACTAAGGGAAGTTGAGACTTGGTGACAATTTTTAAAGCACTGTGCTATAAATGGTTATTCAGTCGATACCTAGTGATTTTTGAATGAACTGAAAGATCAATAATTAGAGTTTATTATCAAATTCTTTAGTCATTGTTAAATATATTAAGGTTTAATAGCTTAATGGGTATTACCAAGTATACAAATTTACAGAAACGAAATTATAAAAGGGATAATTATAATAAAGAATATTTATGTGAATAACTGTTTACCATAACTTAATTATCAGACATTTTATTCAGACGGTTTAATTTACTAAATCGGTTGGCATCCGATAACTTACAATCGGTTTTCCGGCTACATTTTCGAAATGATTTTTTAAGTTTACAGTTGACAGATTTTAGATATATTTAAACTCTAAATGATGCAAAAGTTTACAATTTTAACATATAACACTATTCAGTTTAATTATTCATATATGAGATTCGCACCGCTGAGGAGTCTTATACTAGGATGAAACGGCCGTCCAGTGCTTACAGGTTTTCCAAGGTGGTCTAGCTTCAATCGACCCATAAATTCAACTACTATATTACTAAAATATCCACAAAACCCCTTTTTGATTAATATTCATACGTGAAATTTCGAGCACTACACCAAAACGATTATGGATTTGTAATTGAACAACCTGATAAAGTTACTAAAAACAACAACTGCTCACTTATATATTCTTTTTTCGGAATATTCTATGGAGGTAACTGTAAGTAATTTCCTAGAACGAGATTGAATACTAATAGAATTTCTATCCATCCGTATAGATCACCAAACTCTCAAAGGTACTTTGCAAAATATAGAGTCAAGATAATTTAATTTTTTTAGAAAGATGTTTTATGAAAGTATTAGGTTGGTTCACTTTTTGTATACAATTATATAAGTTAGGTTTAGGTACCGTTGGATTTTCTTTTTAATTCATTAAATCAGATTTATGCTTCAGACCATATTTAACTACGAAAATAGAATTGCTGATATTTATTAAATTTGCTTCAATATCTTTACTGCAAATATTGTCAATTTTCAGTCAGTAGTTTCATCTTCGTTGTTTCACTGTTTTGTGTCAGCGTTTTATGTTAGCGTTCGGGTGCGAGACCTAAGTCCCTAAGTTCGAACCCCGCGGGAGGGATCGTGGGTGCATAATGCTGAGGAGTCCCACAATAAGATGAATGGGCCGTCCAGTGTTTCCAGGTTTTCAAAAGTGGTCTAACATCAATCGGTTCATGATCTCAATCAAAAAATTCGATACTTTCCTTTCTACAAATCCAACTTTATTTAATCTAAACTGAGTTTCCGCAAGCACGTTTTCTGATATTTGCAACAAAAGTTTTCTATTATCTGTCCAAGGGAAATCTTAGTATTGGTCATGTCCTTTTAAAAAATTGTTAATGGAACCCACATAAGAAACGTCATTACAAGTATATCCATCATATATCTTTAACATTTTTTTTAATATTCAGCATTCATTTAGGTGGTAACTCACGTCATCTGAAACAAAAGCATATTCAAAATTACAAAGATATGGCAGACAGAAGTCTTCCAAACAAACTCAAAAATTTAACAAGTAAACGAAGGGAACAATCGAAAAAGTTTGGTCAAAACTGGCAGAGAAGAAGGAATGAATTACTTAAACGTCGAAGATATCGCCAACTAAAGGCCAAAACACAAACATTTATTCAGTTAAATAAATTATATCAACAGAAAGCTGACATATTAATGTTTACTCCTGAACAAAGAAAAAAGAAAGAGTTTTCTCAAGGTAAAAGAAGGTCTAAAAGGGCAGCTACAGCTTATGTTTCAAGAACATGGACAAACGGAGTTATTCCATACATAATACAAGCAAATTTTTCAAGTAAATTTAACTTTCTTTTAATCCATATGCTTAACTTTGAAATTTTCATTAAAAGGAGCAGGGATAGTGAAGTAGATAATGATATCAGTGATCAATTCTTCACTCTATATATTTTTCTAAAGAGGTTTTTACTACCCGTTGTGACATCCTAATATGATCAATGATAATGAAATATTTATCCTATTTCATTTCGTATATGTTCTATAAACTTATGATGACAGTATATCAAAAGCCAAGAAATTGGTATTTAGGTTACTTATATTTCAGACACGCTAATACTGAACGGCAGGAAATCTACAAAAGACACAGTGACTGTATAAATCATCGGGGCACGGAAATACACTGGCTCGGAGAATAATAAGATGATTCAGTTTTTATAAGTTATTTAAAAAATACGAAAAAGAGAGGAACATATAGGCAATATTGTACATGTATGTATAAAACAAGATCATAGTTACACGTGAGCAACTAACAAGAAAGAATCTATGGGTTGTAAAATGAATTAAAAGAATTGTATAGTTCATCTGTTCGATTAAGTCACATAACAATATTAATTGTTACAGGTTAAGTTCATGTCACTGACAAATTCTCGGTGACTTTTTATTAAACCGGATGATTTAGACCAACTTTTTTACTTCTGATCATTTCGAGCACTTTGAAGATATAAATCCATTAACTGAGCTCATGAATTTTAGCCAGCCACAGTATTTGAAATATATTAAACTTTACCATATTTTTTAATCAGAGTTTACTGATTAAGAAGAACTATTTCACTATTTAACCAGTTGAAGTGGAAGGAATGTGTACTATTCAAATGTAGGAAGCAATTCATCAAATTTAGTTGTTCAATATTACGCGCTGTCACTGGTAAGTAGTAGTAATGCATGAGATGACACCTCGATACTTCTGCAGATCGCTTCACTCAGTTCATATGCAATAGAAGTAATAGTACTGAACAGCTATTGAATAGTCCAAACACTTACTGATTTGTCTGTCCCCCATGAGGAATTCGCTATTTGAATATGTGGCAGAGAAAAATACTCGACTATACATTAATACCTGAATAGTTAATCTGTTATATTAGATCACTGTAATAATGATGCGGAAATATGTACATTGAATTTCGTTATGTTATTTGCGCTACTTATACTTATTGAAAGTAGCCAAATGTCGATAAACAAAATGTTTAGGGGAGCTGAAAACAGTTATGTTTAATTCAATTCCAGTTTTTGAAGTAAATGACTTGCTTTTTTTAACGATCTACATTTGTTTTCAACGAATAAGCCTTAGATGCGCTAAAGAGACTGATGAAACTTAAATTCTGTAAAAATGGTTATAGATGCTGTCCTGAAATTCTTTTACTTTTTTTGCTTTTTAGGTGAAACTAAAGCTACGATTATGAAAGCTATGCGACATTGGGAAAATTATACCTGTCTTAGTTTTGTTGAAAGGCAACCACATCATAGATCCTACATAATCTTCACTGAAAAGGCATGTGGGTAAGTGTTTAAAGAAGGAGAGAAAGATTTAGATTTGAGGGTAATTTTAATTGTACATTTATAGCCTCAAAAAATGAAGATTTTGAATAGTTAGACAAATGCAAACGTTTGTGAATTAATAATTCGTCCAATTTGTTTAAACAAATTTTGTATCCCTAAAAATTGGTTTCCACAAATTATGCATCGATGATATAATTATGTAGATAATATTGAAGAAGGCATTACTTGATGGACTTTATAATTATTTTGAAGGATACTGTGTTTGGCTGCAGCAATTTTGATTTACTTAAGTCTTGATTAGATAGTGTAATTACTATTTCTCGTCTTCAAAACACTAATGTTTCGTGTTCAGTTTTACTGTTCGGTTATGCATAATTCCAAATGAATATAGCCAACTTTGAATATCAACATAGTGTGGGTTTTTTGGATATAAGATTACGATGTAGGTTAATTTATTTGATCACATTTATAATTGATCAAGTTAAACAATGAATCCATACTAATGTGACCAAATTGTGAGGTCAGATACTAAGTGTATGAATTATGTCTCCTTTGGTAACTTATCTATGATCACTACTGTTCATGAAATTCATTAGTCTCATTACAACTAGAATGCAGTAAGTGAATAATTTTTTACTTCTTATTCATAATTATGCGAGCGTTCACCTTTTGTATGATCAGTTTTCTGATCTGTGAACACTAATGCCAATGATATGGAAGATTTAGTCTATTAGGATGTGACTATGAACAGCAAACTAAAGTCTTAGGAAAAAAAGTTAACTTTCCTTATTTGAACTGTCATTGATGATATATCATTGGAGATGTGACAAAATAAAAACAAATGAATCATACTACTTACTAATACCTAGTAACACAAAAACATAATTTTAGCTTCAAGATATAAACTAGTTGAATTCAGGAGTCAATCTGAGCTAGACCACCATTGAAAACTGGAGGCACTGGATGGCCGTTTCGTCCTAGTATGGGACTCCTCAGCAGTGCACATCCATGATTTGAATTTCCTCAGAGAGTTGCTGTAAAATATTATTTCTTCTAAAGTACTCATTATTATTTACAATTTTAAAAAATAACAATAATAGGTGTTGTTCATACGTGGGACGACGTAGCGAAGATGAACCACAAGCCATATCAATTGGAAAAAATTGTGACAAGAAAGGGATAGTAATTCATGAACTTGGTCATGTGATTGGATTTTGGCATGAACACACTAGACCTGATCGAGATGGTAAGTCAGTCTTCAGATCCGGTGACCATTAACATAACCTTGAATGTTTTCCCTATACTATATTGGGTATTTATTAATTTCTAAGCATAAAACTATCACAAAGATAGATCATGAGATAATTACAATAATTTTGGTCCATAATTTAATACTGATTGACTTCGTTTTCACTTTGGGTGGTATTTCTGTGGTTTCGTACTAGTCCCACTTTGTTGTTTTAGACTAATTGGATATTCTAAATAAAAATAAATCCTTAATAGTTCAAATGTTTAAAAATTCTTTAGTATCAAATTTTCAATTATGACCTACAATAGGAAATACCTTATTGTTTTGTTTAGTATTCACTTAACAATTTGGGGACACTAAAAGTCTCACGTTCTCCAAAAAAAGTGGTGTCAATAATTTTGGAGTAAATTCTTTTACATGAAGAGCTAACAAAGAACTGTTTTACAAGAGTCAACTACTAAATGTTGAGCTTGCTTACTTACACCTGTTACCCCTCGTAGTAGCATAGACCGCCTACCAGAATTCTCCAACCAACTCTGTTCTGGATTCTCTTTTCCAACTGTCTCCATGTCCTATTCATTCTTTCGATGCCTGCTCCCAGTTCCCAGCACACTGTGTTCTTTGGTCCACCTTCGCTCTTTCACTTTAAGGATCCCAAGTTAGGGCTTGGCTCGAGATGCCGTCTGATTATTTCCGCAATATGTGTCCGATCCACCTCCAGAGCTTTTTCCTAATTTCTTCAGCTAGAAGCTAATCCGTTCCTTGTCACATCGTGCTACTGCTGGTGGTATCCGACGGATCTGGAGCATCTTGCTTAGACAATCGTTTATAAATACCTGTACTTTTTGATGATGGTTGCAAAACTTCTCTAAATTTCAGCTCCGTATGACATATAAGGCAACACTTCAAAATTGGTTCCAAATAACTCCCTATTTGACATAGGTGGTAAGTTATTTCATTATCAGGCGCGCCACTTTTAGAAATGCTTGGATTAAACAAGAATAATGTGATTAATAATTTAGATACTTCTTGAAGACTCTGAACAAACAATATTGTTGGGGACTTTATATCCCAAAACTCATATTTTGTAATTTTATCTTTTTGGAGCTTGTATGCAGATGTATGCTTGTGCATTTCTTACCACTCACGCACATAGTCGATTGACGAACTTATCGATTAAATGTTTAAATATTTCAATGGGAGTCGATTGACGAACTTATCGGTTAAATGTTTAAAGACTTCCATGGCAATATCGATATATATATATATATATATATATATATATATATATATATATATATATATATATATTAATACGCTTGATTTGTGTGCTTGATGAACCTGGTATTTTCTGGTTGCCTGTAGAATACACTTTCTACATCTTACCAAGACTTCTGGATCGAGTTAGCTGAGTCGGGGACAACGGACCAGTATAGCCTATCGAGTCTCTGAATCCTTGATTCTTCGTTCTGTTCCGAGTAAGACAAATCAGTAGTAGCATTCAAGTTAACGAACATAATAAATATGTGATATTCCACGTCGCTTATTTGTGACCACAGACCACCCACTATTCTGCCTGCTTAGGAAATAGTTTCCTAGATTTTTTTACAATCTTACTGCTACAAACTTTATACGACTTTCGACAGCTGAGTCGGAGCTTCGAACCCAACTTCAACTATATTCGTCAAGGCAAATGAGTACTATCATTAGGTCTCACGTATAACAACGTGGCATGCAACCTAATCTTGAAACACTTACTTGGTAAATGAGTTACGGGATCGGACTGAAATCGATAAACAATGTTTGTTTCAGGTATCAGAATAACGAATATAATCTGTTACCTAATACCTTTAGATAGTTTACTAACACAAGAATTTCCATTCTTTAAATTTATGCTTCAATAATTCTTTAAAATTATCAGAAATATTTCCTTCTACATATACTTACAGAACATGTAGATATTCTACTCGATAATGTTGTTGAAGGACAAGATTTTAATTTTAAAAAATGGATCCAGGTGAAGTGAACTCTCTTGGTGAACCATATGACTATAGTTCTATTATGCATTACGCTAAAGGAACATTTGCTAAAGCGAATAAAGATGAAACAATTAGACCAAAAGCTTGTTGTCCACGACCACCTATTGGTCAACGTATTCAGTTAAGTCCTGGTGATATTCGACAAACGAATAAACTTTATTTATGTCCAGGTAATTATTTAAATTTATGATAACATGTTATTGTTTCTGTTAAAGTGGGCATTTTGTGAAGATCGTTCAGTCTAAAACTAGTTTGCATCATGGACAAACAAAGTGCGAATGAACCACTGCAAACTGAAGATGGGTGGATAACTGTTTTTGTCCTTCTATGAGACTATTTCTATTTTTATACAGATTTTTATATCAGAAATCACAGTACTATAATTATCTTTGTTTTCCATTATTGTGTGTGGGATACTAAATTACTTAGCTTTATGTCACGTAAATTTGGAATTGCCCGTTTCCAAGGGATTTAAGAATAAAATAAACAACTATAAATTACTCTACAATCTTCAATGATTGATCATCTGTTACCAGTTTATGGCGAGCATTACCTCTAAGTTGTAGGATTTTTTCTGTCATTTTAGCTAATTCAACTGTTCACTTCATCAACTGTTATAACTATTGACATGAAGATTGAAAGATATTAAAAGTACATAAAAATGACGATAATAACATTGGGCGAGACATCTAAAGGTCATGAAGTGCATCATGTGTGGTGTCATAAGTTTGAACTACTAAGGAGTTCCTAAACAACAATGTAACAACTGACCAATGCTTTTTTTTTTTTCAATGATTCTTTGATTAACGTTATTTCATAATGGAGACTATTTTAAAGCTATCCAAATCTTTAGGGAAAATTTCACTACTACATATGTTTTGATGGTAATTAAAGTGTTCAGTATACAAAATAAATCCAATGATAGAATATCCCGTTTGAATATTTCTCTTTATTTAAACTAGATTATCCAAGCATTCAGTATAAATATTTCCTCAAACATTTTATGTTTCATATGGTTTTACTTGGTACTGTGTCCAAGGAGCTGTATGTTATTTCTGTCTGTATCGCGGTTTATTATAAATTTGTTACCATTCTTCTAGTGTATTCAATAACTTGTTAGTACTTTTTTCTTCTCTCTAATTCAGATATTCATGCTGAAAATGCTCATATTTTTTAATTGAATTTCTAACGTAACTCTGCATTTTTACTTCAGAATTTCCAACTTTTCTCCTACGAAGCTTCACAAATGTTAATAAGCCACCGTTCAAATTATTTGAAACAACCTCCATTTGACGTATTATGTATGTATTGTCGAGAGCTGTATAACTACGATAGTTTGATTATCTTTCAGAGAGAAGAGATTTTCTTGAAATTAGCAGTAGTAATAATAGTTGTAGAAAAGTAAAATTCATCTAATGAAATAAGCAACAGTTTACTTATTTCCTTTGGTCTACTTACTTACTTACTTACGCCTGTTACTCCCAAAGGAGCATAGGCTACCGACCAGCATTCTCCAACCTATTTGTTTTCATACTTAGAGACTAGAACCAAGGTAAATTGTTACGTACTTTACAAACCGAATATTGAAAATAAACCTAGAACAAAATTATCATGTTTATTTGGATAGTTTCAAGGGATAAATTTGATTGGAAGACCATTTGAAATCAAAATTAATTGGAGACCTTTCTAAGAGCACGAATCAGTAAATATTAGTTCTCAGTTTAAAACTCGTTAACAGGGCCACATACAGACTTTACACTGGATGATATTCAGAAAGTTTGGGTCTTTTTGTGTATGATAAATTTAAACTAATCATATGTGATTCAGTCACTAGATGATATTTTTGAATGTTATGAGCGACGTATTTTAATTCGAATTTCGAAAACCATTCCAAGGTTACTTATTTTTGAGTACATCGTTATTGTTCGATTATATAATTTGTAGAGATATGTTCGATTTGAAGATAGTTTTCACCACGGTCCATTGAGAAGCCGTGATTAGCAGAACTCAACCATGTTATGAACGAACCAGTTTTCGACGACACTAAATGATTGGAAGTTGATTATAACTGGAAATGAAAACTACCGGATTTCATTGCATTAGTCTAAATATGTTGCAATTGATATAATATCTGGAGACCAGAAGCCCGACTTTATGTGGTGCCGTAGATTTGTACTACCAAGGAGTCTTGAGTGAAGATAATGTCCAGCTGATGTCAGTTTTTAAATAAGATTATCATCAAATAAAACTTATCCCTTCAAACCACCCAAATAAATATTTAAAATGTTTTACTCTCCGTTTATTTTCAGGGTTGCCCTTAGTGTTAACATGAATGTAATTTGACTTCAAAATCTAGGTTTTACAATCAAATAATAAACCAATATTACTCGTTAGAGTAAAATGGCTGTTACGTAACTGTTTTGTTTCGTAAGTTTGCTACAGTATGTAGGTTCGGCTAATAAAACTATAAAACCAATTCAATTTAACTAGTAAAAGGTTTCTGTTGTCTATCGGTACTCAAAATATTTAAGTTAGGTTTTATGTATTATGTTAATATTAATATTAACACGTCAAAATATTCATTCTCTTTTATTTGTTACACATTAGGGTCTATTTTATTTATTTTGGTGCCATTTTGTTCATTTGTTTAAACGAAATATTTTTCGCTACATTTTAGCATGTGGTCGTACACTTCTAGAACCAGTAGGAAGTTTGTCTTCACCACAAATGGCATGGAAATTAGAAGATCGTTTCGGTGGTAATGCCAACTCTTCATTATTTCCCGATCCGATAGGTTTAGAGCAGTCGATTCAACTAGGAAATGCTATATCAGTTGATCATCTTTTACCTGATGATAACGAGAATATGTATCATCCTTATCGATCATTAACAAATGGTAATACAATTGATGGTGGTGAAGATCATAGTTTAATCGGTATGGTCAATGATAATAATTATCAGTTAAAAACAATTCCATATAATCCATTTAAAGGATCATTCAATAATGAAGAAGTTCCATTGATAGCAATGAGTCGTTTATCTAAGTTATCAAAAACAAGTTCATCATCTACTTTAGGTTTCACATCAGCTAGTCCTATACTTTGTCAATGGAGAATAAATGCTGCATCAGGTGAACGGATACGTTTAAATTTTACACACATGGATATATCTGGACCGATAACACAGGATTCTATACATACACCAAATAATTTAAATAATTTACATAAAGCATATGAATTAAATCAAAAAAGTATCAATCGTATCTCATGTATTAATGATTATGTAGAAATAAGAGATGGATATTATTCTGGTTCACCATTAATTGGTAAGTTAACTTTTTTTATACGAATATTTACATAAGAGACAAACAATTTATCATTCCTCCTATTAACTAATTACTCAGTAGTGACCAATATTATCTAATCTACTTATTAGTGATGATAAAGTTCCATGAATCAAGTTGCCATTCAATGATTAGGCGAAATGGCTCGAAATCGCACTGTATGTATTATAAGGTTGAAGTGATAGGTGAAAATTCTTGGATTTAAATTTTAAGTTAGTTATGATTGATCAGTATATTTTATCTGTAATCTGTAAGATTTTAACCAATCATGTTATGATATCGTGGGAGCTAATTTGACTATGATAATTGTCAATAATCACGTAATCTAAATCATAAATGCATTTTCATAAAACAAATTTTTTTTCATTTTAATGTGAAACTATCTTATCAATTATGTTGGTAAATTGAATTTACTATAGAAATAATTTACTTCATTTCACAGGGCTAGGAGGTTTTCATTTTGAATTGTTTCACCGTTAATCAACTCTAATATAAAACAATACTTATCATTTGATACTAACTGTGGATATTATAGTAATTTCAATGGTTGAGATCATGAGTCGATTGGAGCTAGAGCACCATGGAAACCTGGAACCTATGACCTAACAGTTTTGCGCGCAAGCGCTTAACCACTAGACCACTGAGCCGGCATCTAACAATGTTAATGTCTAACTTCAACCAATTCAGCATATAGAATTGTTTGTTAGAAGATTCAGACTTTAACCATTGACTCTAATCAAATTTTTTGTATTGAATTAAATAATGTAATTTCATAACTAAGTGAATTATTATCTCTGACCATTGTATTTAAATCTAGTTTTATGCATTCGTCCAATGAGAAATAAGTATGAATCTTTAAATGTAACATACACTTTAATTTAATCATTAATATTTGCCAGTTAACTACAATGTTTATGATTACTGACACCATTTTACTAAACTTTAATAACCTGGTTATATACCAAGAAATTACTTTATAAGTTAAAATCTCCTGTTCAAATATGAAGTTTTTTTGATAAAAGTTAGAAAGGTGATTATACTTCATTCATAAGTCTTAAGTTCAAATAATGTTCATTTAGAATATAAATCATCGGTAATATTATGAGAAATACGTATTTCATTAATGTTCAAAGCTTATTATTCACAACTTTTTCCGTATGAACTACATCAGAAATAGATTAGTTTACATGTTGTTTCCTATAGATTTAACAGTAGTGTGTTATTATCAATTTGTATACAATATTCTTATTTTGCAAATTTTTTTATTCCGATCTTTATTCAGGTCGTTACTGTGGTCAAAATTTACCTCCACAGTTAATTTCAACTGGATCACGTCTTTGGTTAGAATATAGAAGATCTGCTGGGAGTATGACTACAGGTTTTATCGCTGATTATGAAGGTGATAATTAAATGATTTAATACTGTCCTTTTCATTTACTTAAAGTATCCTAATTATTTTGAACACTATTTTCCAACTCATACTTACTTACGCCTGTTACTCTTCGTGAAGGAGCGTAGGCCACTCACCAGCATTCTCCATCCAACCTTGTCCTAGGCAGTCCTTTCCAGAAAAAATAATTTTCCAACTCATACTTCTTAAGTTTATACATTTGAATAATGAATTATGTTACCCTTTTGAAACTCTCTTTATTGCGTAGAATTCTGTGATGAAAAATCTGAATTCCAATTGGAAGCTGTGTCTTCTGATGTAAGATAAACATTCATGAATTTCAGCAATATTTATAACACTTACTCATAAATAAATCTTAGTTGTAGCGTTAACAGGAGTTCTTCATGTAAGTATCAATGTGAGGTTTCAGAAAGAAAACAGTCATTTATTTAAAAGTTCATGGCTCCGATAGGAAGAGCACTAAAACTTACATAAAACTATCAATTTACTCATTCTATTTCACTACTTCTTAAGATTTCAAACAAAATGTGTAGAAAAATTACTCTGAAGTTTACATATTCATAAATATTTTCCCCTTTAGCTATATGTGGTGGAGAATTACAAATGGAAGAAGGGACACTAACAAGTCCAAATTACCCTGAATTTTATCGACCAAGTAAAGAGTGTGTTTGGCAAATTATTGTTCCGTTGGTTATTCTGTTGCATTGATATTTCATTCATTTCAGGTGAGTTAAAAGTCTATGATTAAGAAATTCTGTGTATGTTTTATGATGTAGCACCCAGTGTGGATTTAAATTACTTACTTACTTACTTACGCCTGTTACTCCCAATGGAGCATAGGCCGCTGACCAGCATTCTCCAACCCACTCTGTCCTGGGCCTTCTTTTCTAGTTCCATCCAATTCTTGTTCATTTTTCTCATGTCTATCTCCATTTCTCGGCGTAATGTGTTCTTTGGTCTTCCTCTTTTCCTTTGACCTTCAGGATTCCATGTGAGGGCTTGTCTTGTGACGCAGTTGGGTGCTTTCCTCAATGTGTGTCCTATCCACTTCCAGCGCTTCTTCCTGATTTCTTCCTCCGCTGGGATCTGGTTTGTTCTCTCCCACAGTACGTTGTTGCTAATAGTGTCCGGCCAATGGATCTGAAGTATTTTGCGTAGACAACTGTTAATAAACACCTGTATTTTCTGGATGATGGCTTTTGTAGTTCTCCAGGTTTCTGCCCCATACAGTAGAACTGTCTTGACATTTGTATTGAAAATCCTGACCTTGGTGTTGGTTGACAGTTGCTTTGAGTTCCAGATGTTCCTCAGTTGTAAATATGCTGCTCTTGCTTTGCCGATCCGCGCCTTCACATCTGCATCAGATCCACCCTGTTCATCAATGATGCTGCCCAAATATGTAAAGGTTTTTACATCTTCCAAATCTTCTCCGTCAATTGTGATTGGATTGGTGCATTCTGTGTTGTATCGGAGAATCCTGCTTTTCCCTTTGTGTATATTGAGACCTACTGCTGCTGAGGCTGCTGCCACACTGTTCGTCTTCTCCTGCATCTGTTGTTGCGTTTGGGATAGAAGGGCCAGATCGTCTGCGAAGTCTAGATCATCCAACTGCATCTTAGATGTCCATTGTATCCCGCGCTTCCCTTCAGACGTTGACGTCTTCATGATCCAGTCGATCACCAGGAGAAAGAGAAAGGGTGAGAGTAAGCAACCTTGCCTAACACCGGTCTTCACTTCGAACGACTTTGTCAACTGTCCTCCATGCACGATTTTGCAGTGTAATCCATCATATGAGTTCTGTATGATATTGACTATCTTCTGAGGCACGCCGTAGTGTCGAAGAAGTTTCCATAGTGTTGTTCTGTCCACGCTATCAAATGCCTTTTCGTAGTCAATGAAGTTGATGTAGAGTGATGAATTCCATTCAATTGATTGTTCCACAATGATCCGTAGAGTTGCGATTTGGTCTGTACACGATCTATCCTTACGGAATCCTGCCTGTTGGTCACGAAGTTGGGCGTCTACGCAGTCCTTCATCCTGTTTAACAATACCCTGTTGAAGACTTTTCCCGGTATTGAGAGAAGAGTGATGCCCCTGTAGTTATCACACTTGCTGAGATCGCCTTTCTTCGGTATTTTGATCAGAAGTCCTTCTTTCCAGTCTGTTGGTACTTGTTCCTCATCCCAAATCTTATTGAAGAGAATGTGGAGTATCCTTGCAGTTGCCGCTACGTCTGCTTTTAGTGCCTCTGCTGGAATGTTGTCCGGTCCTGCTGCTTTGCCACTCTTGATTTGTCTGATGGCCATGCTGATTTCTTCAATTGTTGGTGGGCCAACATTGATTGGGAGGTCCGTGGGTGCTGCTTCGATGTTGGGTGGGTTCAGTGGAGCTGGTCGATTCAAGAGTTCTTTGAAGTGTTCTACCCACCTGTTTTGTTGCTCTTCAATGTTGGTGATTACCTCGCCTTCCTTGCTTTTCACTGGTCGTTCTGGTTTGCGGCGATTTCCAGAGAGTTTCTTTGTCGTGTCATACAATTGTCTCATGTTTCCTTCTCTTGCAGCCTTTTCCGCCGTCGTTGCTAAATCTTCCACATATTTACGTTTGTCGGTTCTGATGCTCCTCTTCACTTGTTTGTTTATTTCCGTGTATTCAGCTTGTGCCTTGGCTTTTTCTGCTCTTGTTCGACTGGTATTGATTGCTGCCTTCTTGTTCCTTCTTTCTTGAATCTTATCCAGTGTATCAACAGTGATCCATTCCTTGTGGTGGTGCTTCTTGTGACCCAGGACCTCATGACATGTTGAAGTGATTGCCTCTTTGATCCCCTTCCAGTTGCTCTCCACAGTAGTTCCTTCTCCATTGAGTAGATCATGAAAGGCCTGGAACTTGTTGCTGAGGACTATCTTGAATTTGTTGAGTTTGTTAGTATCCTGGAGAAAGGCCGTATTGAACTTTTGTGATATTGTCCGCCCCGTTGTCCAGTGCTTCTTGAGTTTCAATTTCATCTTGGCGACCAGCAAGTGATGATCTGATGCTATATCAGCTCCTCTCTTGGTTCTCACGTCCTCTATAGTCCTCCTGAACGTTTTGTTGATGCAAATATGGTCGATTTGGTTTTGTGTAGAGTGATCCGGTGAAGTCCATGTGGTTTTGTGTATGCGTTTATGTGGGAATATGGTGCCGCCTATGACCAGCTTATTGAAGGCACATAGATTTGCAAATCTCTCACCATTTTCGTTTCTTTCTCCCAGTCCGTGTCGTCCCATGATGTCTTCATATCCAGTGTTGTCCGTTCCAACCTTGGCGTTGAAATCTCCCATCAGAATGGTCAGGTCCTTTGTTGGGCACTTCTCGACGATTGACTGCAGCCTATTGTAGAATTGATCTTTAGCGTCTTCATTGTAGTCGTTGGTAGGCGCATAGCATTGGATGATGTTCATTGAAATGCCCTCTTTCTTTGTTTTGAACGAGGCTTTGATGATCCTTGGTCCATGAGATTCCCATCCTATAAGTGCATTTTGCGCTTGTTTGGACAGCATCAATGCAACTCCTTGTGTATGTGGTGCATTTTCTTCTTCATGGCCGGAGTATAACAGGAGCTCTCCTGTAGTTAGTCGTTGTTGTCCAACTTGTGTCCAATGTGTTTCACTGATCCCAAGTACCTCTAGGTTGTATCTTCTCATTTCTGCAGCAATTTGGAAGGCTCTTCCGGTGTCCCACATTGTACGAACATTCCATGTACCTAAATAAATGGTTGCTCTGGTTGTCAGAAGGGGCATCGGCCTCGTAACTTCCGAAGGAATTCGGCTTTCATCATGAGGCGTCATAATTCTTCTAAATGAAGACCTTCTGACTCCCAGGGCAGAGTTTAAAAGGTTTGAATAATTTTTTCTGGTTAGCGTTTTTTTAGCGAGTTAGTTTTCTACGGGATGGGGACGCTAACCCCATGCCCAACCCTCCTCCTTTATCCGGGCTTGGGACCGGCAGTAGCCCCCGGAGGGACTCCAGGCGGAGTTGTGGATTTAAATAGTGTTCAGTTATTTTTTTTACATTTTACAACCTTAAACTTCAAGTTGAGTGCTCCCAGTGCATAAAAAGCTATTTTAACAATAACAAAACAATTAAGTCTGTTTTAGTAAAGTTGTAATACAGGGGTCCTTAACTGGCTTTGTATGAATGATAATCTATAAACATTGATATGATAATAAATATTTATATTTAGGTCTGCAAATATTACTTTTAGCCTAAATATTTTCAGGGGTTGATTTTTCATAGATAGATCATTAGAATTCATCACAATCAGTATTTACGGTACAACGCTAATCGTAGAACTATACAACTATAGAGACTTTTGTAGACACATTAAATTGATTATTTGTCGCTAAATAATGTTTAAAAAAATAGAAAAAAGTAATCAAAATGGTTCAATTAACCTGTTTGTCATGCAGTAAAAGTGCTCTATATCATCAAGTCAACTGATGATGAAAATTTGAGTATAGCTTATTTTTAGATCTATATTCTAGCTCGATACCTGTTGGCTTATAAGTGAACAGACTAAATAAATGTTCATTTTCAGCTGGTTTGTTTAATTCTTTTTTTTTTCTTGAGTTAAGCATTCATAACCTGGATTGTTGATCTTTTCATTTTCTAAAATGATAATTCACAGCTAGAAAAACATGATACCTGTGTATACGATTACCTAGAGGTACGTGATGGTTTAAAAGATACATCCCCACTGCTGAAAAAACTATGTGGATCACATCTACCCACTCCAATTAAATCGACCAATAATGTGATGTATGTAAAATTTGTATCAGATAGCTCAGTAGAAAAACAAGGATTTACGGCCACATTTCAGAAAGGTAATTTAAAATTTAAAATTAGTTATTTGATAATATATTTACAGTAAAATTAGTGAGAGATTTACTTTAATAATTTAAACTGCTTAACAGTATAATTGTAATGACCAATTTCTTTAAAGTTTTGACGTCCACAATATCTGCATAGCTAGGTTGTGTAAATAATGTGTGAGAGAAAGTCAGTCTAAAAAAAAGCACAAATCAGTAAACAAGTGTGATTAGTTTGCTGAGAGACCTAAGTAAAACTGAAACTGATAAGTCTTCTAAGTGAACGCTAGATTCTGTTCCTAGGCACTTCTATTAACCCTCAGGTTAAATCTACACAGTAACCTGAACACGAGAGAAAAGGCATGAAATATAGAAGAAACGCATTACTCCAAGGTTCGTTCATGTTCAGAAAATCTAAGGTATTTATAACATTTTAGATGGCCTTAGGCTTCCAGAAAATTCTGAAACGCTGTTAAACATAGTAGCAGTATAATTAATCATCCAATCAGAAACGCGACCTGTGACCTTTTACTTTCTAGATGTTTCTGGCAAAACGTCTATTGAATGCTGATTGAATAAGGGGTTTCTCAGAGTTTTCAGAGTCTTTTATGGCATTTTTCGAGGAATTTTCTGAGTCTCCCCAACAGAAACAAATTTATTTTATTTTTTTTAAAGTTTTGGAAACGACGTAAAAAATTTAATTAATGAATAAACTCTGAAAATTATTGATTTACGAAAACCTGAATATCCAAATTATGTATATTATTGGCCTTATTGGAAATAATCAATATATCTGTAAGGAACTAAATTATTCAATAGAATATTATACTAATTATGTATTATCCACTTACTGTCAGTCATTAAACACTTTTACCTTAGTAAAAGAATTGTTCGGCACCAATGAACTAATGAAATTTTTGACTAAGAAACATTTACGAAGGGACTATTGATATTCATAAAAGGTTGTGTATTTTAAGTATTTATTCCAGTCTATAAATGACCTGTCATAAATTTTTAATACAATTTTGGTTCTACCAGAATAGAAGAAGAATTCAATTCCTTGACTATGTGTGTGATATTTAAATCGTTTCGTTGTGTATTTAGTTACGTATACTGTTTAACGGTCAAGAATATTAGAGATAAGCTTGATCTGTAGAACTATTCACTAGTGTTACAAAAAATTCATATCACTAACATTTTAGAGGCAATTTATCACGTCTGATTATTGAGGCGAGAATGGAATCTACACAACAGTCGACTTTAAGATTATTAATTTGAATGTTCCTATGATATAAAATTGTTGATTCTCACCCGTCGTTTATTCAAAACTGAACTTCAAGTGTTCAAAGCTAAATACTGTAATCAAGAAATGATTCGTAAAAACCAATTCTTTATTAGCTAGAAGAAAAGAGTAATCAGAAAATTCTTTTGTAAATTATCTAACAAAAAGACCAACTAATAGTTACCTACAGTTTGATGTTTATGCTCTAAATTTCGTCTAGAAAAACTAAAATAATATAAATAAAAGTGATCCAAATGACACACCAGACAAAATGATTATTTAACTAAGATTAGCTTTCTAATTGAATTTAAAGTGTTTTGTCCAGTGTGTACTTTATGTTCAACAAAATATTGTGCCATATTATTCAAAACAGAATATTAAGTTGGATAGGTAATAGAGCTTTGAGGGAATATACGCATTAAAAAGATTAACACTTTTCATACAATTTTTCTCATTATTAAATTTGATTAAAGTAAGAACAAAAAACGTAGGTTTTCTTCAGCTGTTTATAACCTAGAAACAATAGTAATAATAATTTACAACTAATGTACCTACTTTGTGTCATATTAATCAAGATCAGTAGAATAATGACAACAAGTATCGCTGAACTATAAAATGGTAGAGTAGATGAATACTTAAATGTTAATAAATGTGAGGAATTTTAGAATAAATTTTTTTTAATAACATGGAAACATGTTTCTAGACAATGAAAATTGATGTTAAAGTCATCTTAAAACAACCTTGAAATTGGATGAATTAGCACATTAAGATGGATTAAGCTCAAAAATGATTCAAGAAGAAAGGAACTTATTTTTGGGAATATGAAATAAGATATTACGTCATTGAATAATGAAAAATAAAAGTTACCAGGGTAATGAGATTTACAACTACATTTATTTGAGTATATACAATCACTTTCAACATTTTAATAGTGATGACCAGAGGGTAACGAAGCAAATTATTTGTTTGAGTCTCAATTATTTTGCACAATTTTAAAATGCCAACATTTTGTTCACTATCAAGCAGATGAGGGTCAATGGTAATATTGATAACACATTAACCCTTTAATCTTAGTTTTTGTAGGATATTCTGAGAGTTGCGAACGAGCACCTTTCTTCCTATTCTCCAATTTAAAGTGCCCTGGCATGAACATATGAATTAGTAAATAGAATTGAAGGTAACAAGGGGTAGGATTTTAACCAATTTTTCATTCTCAATAAGCAACTTGTTTAATACAACGGGACCTGTTTAGTAGATGAACACGTCCTTTTAAGTGAAGCTTTTAGTCTAGAATTTATCATCCTAGCTATTGCATCACTTTTAAAGCTAAAGGGTTAAAGGGCTAGATTTTTATCGACTTCAACAAATTTCACTTCTCTCTTTTCTGTTTTCCTATACTTATTGCTAAACTTTTGTGGGTAAACAATATCTACCAGATGCTTTCTGACTACAATTAATTCTTATTTAGTCTTCTCTTCCGTATATAGTTTCCGTACACAGTTAGATAGTGTTCTAACCAAAACATTTTCGTAGCTTATTGGACAGGAACTATTGAAATTCAAATAAAATTCACTCCATGTATCTTTTCAATAAGTAGATATTTCTAGATAGTCTTTTGAATGGATCTGAATGCCAATTTAAAGAAAAAAAGAAATTCGTCATAATATTTGTGTGTCGACCTTATATTAGGGCTCACTTTATTTAAAAGATTCAGTAGATGATAAGCATATCTATGAATATCGTGAGCAAGACTTCTCTTGTCAGCATACATGACGTAGAGTTTTTTTAATCAACTATCGGATTCATTTTTGTTTGTTCCATTTTTGACATAAATATATCTACCAGGACTATCTCCAATGGGCAACCCATAGTGACTCTGTCAACTTGTCGATAAAATGTTTTTTTTTTAGACTGAAATCATGTACTTTTAGTGCATGATAATAAAAACTGTTTGAACTCACCCTTTAATAATGGAAGAAAGCCACTAGGAACATAATGAAATTGTTATACATCTTTAACTATCTATATGTTAATCAAACTTTATATAGTAAAATCATTTTTGTTTTAAGTACAATCTAGTATTCCTATACATTAAGAAAAACACAAAGTTTTCTCATTTGAAGAAATTAGATCTTCAAAATCGATCTAATTTTGTATCATCTCAATCCTCTGGGTTATGACGATACTCCAATTTATTATTCAACTTGGAACTTTAAAATTACTCTTTGTTACAATAAAAAGTCATAAGTCTATGTGCAACAGAACTTTAATAGTTAAGAATATTAATTATTTTGTTTGATTTCTCATAGAATTTGATGAGTGCAAAACTATGAAACATGGTTGTTCACATACTTGTGTCAATACACTTGGAGGTTATCGATGTCAATGTGAGATTGGTTATGAACTACATGCAGATGGGAAACGTTGTGAAGGTAATTAGAATGACCCAATCAAATGACTAAAAATAAACTTTATTTATATAATGAACGAAATTTAATGATTTATTTGATTTCACATTATTGTTCAGTTGTTTCCTATATCTATAAAGTGAAGTATTTTGTGGTCGGGTTTACTCATCATAAAAGTTGTTTGTAAAAATTGCTTATTATTAAATGTATTCAATCGTCAAATATTCGATATCATAAATTATGTTCCCCATTTTCAGATTTAGTAGTGAACTTGTTATCACAGCGAACATTGTTTGCACTTACACATTATCTTTATCACTATACTTTCTCAAACTTTTATTCCTCATCTGACTAAAGAAGACTATTAGTGATTTTATCAGTAGCATTAAAACGAATTTTAAAATGTCAGTTGATTTACTGTTGTGATATTACCAGGGTTATGGATAGTAATGACGTTTATATGAATGGATATGATCTGACCTTGATTTTTGTTCATGATTCAAATTCATGTCTTCGCGGTAAAAACAAATTTTCGTAAAATCATTATTAAATAGATGTGTATTACATCTCACACATTTTAAATCTCATCAGTTTGTAAATTAAAATATGGAGTTTTTCCAGTTCATTTTCCCATTTTTATCATCCATAGATAGTTGTGTTAAGTGTCATTTTGTCAGCATAAGACAGGAATTATACAGAAATATAAAGGATCATTTGATATTAACTCAACTTTAACATAGATCCATATAGAATTTATATCAGAAGGATTTTTTGTGGATATTATAGTAATTTCAATGGTTGAGATCATGAGTCAATTGAAGCTAGACCACTATGGAAAACCCGGAACCATTGGACGGCCACTTGGTCCTAGTATGGGACTCCTCATCAGTGCGCATCCACGATCCCGTCTCGCGGGCGAGCGCTTAACCACTAGACCACTGAGCCGGCATCCAACGGTTTTAATGTCTAACTTCAACCAATCCATGAAATTGAGCGACAAATCCACCATTGTCATCAGTGAGTTACTATCTCACAACAGACCCGGTTGAGCTCCACTGGTCACTGTTGCATTTCAAATTAGAATAACTTGAATTAACTGATTCCATTTCAATTTAAAGAGTATTTTGATGAAATATAATGTAAAACATTTCAGTATTTACCTAGGAATGCCATAGTAATTGACTGGATATTTCATGTGGTGCATAATGATGCATGGAAACACATTTTGAAACCTAGTATTTGAGATACTTATGAAAAGAAATATATCAAAATGACTTTGTTTTTCTTTTCCAATAAAAGGGATCAGGAATTTTTTACCAAGAATATTTTATACATCTAGATGTTCAAAATCAACTACTACTGAATTCCACGTCGATCTTGATTCTGTTAAGACATTAACTTTCAGCTATGTATAACTTGAACGATGTTTTGGAAATGAGGGAAAATTGAATTATCTCCGTTTACACTTCACAAAGTGTATTAGGAAGAAAGTTATAGGACTGGTTCCAAAGTTCAGTCGAGATTAGGTTATTTTATTGTTTCAACTACATAACATTATAGAATATTATGTTGCTATTGTTACTATATTCGTTAATCAATAACAATATTGATTATACAAGTGACATTATTTTCCATAAATTAGATGCATGTGGAGGGGTAATCAATGAGTCGAATGGTACTATTCAAACACCTTTGTTTCCTGATTTATATCCACCTAAGAAAAATTGTATCTGGAAAATTTTGGCACCACCTAAAACGACAATTTTTCTTAATTTTACACATTTTAATTTAGAAGGTCATAATGTGAGTTAACTTACAGATATTTCTTATGTCCTAATGTTTTCATTTGTAAACTAAAAAATTCTTCAGTGACGTTGATTTTGAATATATAAACTGGTTAGAAATAATTTTTTTGTTGAGTGAATTGTTTCATCGGTTAAATGGCCTATTAGAATCTTTTATACCAAAGCAGTTTGCTGATTCCTGTGAAATTCAATACAAAATTACACATTAGATGTTAGTTCAAAACAACCGATGACACTTTGATCTAGTGCTTGTTATTGAAACCATACAGGTGATGAATTTAGGTCAGAAATGTGTTAATTGAGTGCTCAATAAAATATTCTATGAAATGAATGATATTCGAACATATAAATTACTGTATTTTATGTGAGACTTACAAAGCTGAGATCCCCATCATAAATAAATAATAAAATTATCCAATCGAAAATGTTATAAGACTTTTACTAGGCATATTCGGGAAATCATTGTGTTCTATTTTCATTTGGTTCTGTCTCTATTTGTTGAGGGCTTCCAAGACATTGTATAATACCATATTTCTTCGTTCTTTAACATATCATATAGAATGATTTGAATTAGACAAATCAACACAGTTATTTGATCCACCACGTGGCTACGAGTTTATTGTTTTTTTTACTAGTTTTATGCACACAACGTTATTTCCATTAGTTGTTCTAAAGAGAAGTGATTAATTTAAAGATTGTGTAATAAAACACCATTTAGAAAATCATTATGTAACCTATTACGAATTGAATTTGGAATTTGAAAATTTTTGTAAAGTAATTTGATATTAAATTTCTGTACTCCACTCCATAATTTCTACCATTATTAAAGTCCCTTGATCAGACATCAAGATGGGTCAAGAATGAGCAATGCTAATATAATTTTGCATTTGAATACAAAAATCGACAACGAAGCCTTTGTAACTCAATACTAATAATAAGAAAACGGTTTATAAAATTGAGTGATCACTAAGACAGATCAACAAATAGTTCTGGGTTTAGGAATCACTTAATTATTTGCGATGATTACAGAAAAGTAAAGTTTGAAGTCTAGGTTTTAAGAATCAGTTAGTTACTCAAAATGATTACATGGGAATAAAGATGAATAATGTAAGAAATTAGAGCAGGAGTTGGAATTCATAATTTGTTAATAGCAATACAGATGAAAAAAATGAAAGGATAAGTTCAACATTAGTTAGATGACCAAAGAAGAGAGAAATGTTTTCTCTATATAAAGAATAAGTTTATTAAGGTGAATTCTTATGGCTTCTACTTTGTATGGGAGGCGACATCTGGATAAAAAAGAACAAGCCGAATGGAATTAGATACGTAACTTTGAATGTAATATATGTGTCGGTCTTACAGCTTGTGTTGACTAAGTGTGCTAGGATAAAACTTTCTACCGTTTTTCTTTGTTTATAAATATTCCGAATTAAATACACAGACTGTATTAAATGTAAATCCGTCGTTTTTATTTGACTCGTTTCGGTTAAAACTAATAATGACAGCTTGGTTTACAATTGTTCTTTTCCTTGCCTAGCGAGCATGTCGATATGATTTTATCAATGTTTACAATGGTTCAACAGATAATCAACAGAAAATTGGCACATTTTGTGGTGATCAAATACCAGAGCCTATTACATCCCATACAAATGAACTCAGTATTGAATTTTATTCAGATACATCTGTACAGCGTACTGGTTTCAGAGCTGTATTCTTTACTGATCGAGATGAATGTGCTGATAATAACGGAGGTTGTCAACATTTATGTCGAAATACAATAGGATCATACCATTGCGCTTGTCGACCGGGTTTTAATCTTTACGGCAGATATGAATGCAAAGAGAGTAGGTTTCATTCAGTATTTTAAATTATAGCGAGATGGATGTATTCAGTATCATTGAGTTCTCTGCGTAGGATAGTTTAATTGAGAAGCATAGACCATCGGTATCTATCTAAACTGGAAATAAGCATTTTAGATTCACTCAACGAGTGGCAAGTCAGCCACTTGACGGTTAGTATGCATATATCCAATCGACAAGGACACAGCATTCGAAAGAAATTCAAATGTCTAGAGTCTTTATGAACAAACAAACAATAATATGGTAATCACGTTGAACTGATATTTTATTTAAGGGATAATTCTAAAATGTTGATTTCTAGTCCAGGTAGGTATTGTTCACTTAGTTCAGATTGGCAATAAAATTCTTGCCATTAAACTGTTCACCATAGAAAACTCAACATTACTTTATGCTATGTCTTTATAAATTTATATTTTTAGTTTGTGGATGTTACTATATTAATTGTAAGTAGTTTACTACGGTAAATGATTATTTTTCACTTTAAAAACATTTCTGGTAGCGGTTGTAATTTCTTTTAGTTCAGTGAGAAATATGTGCCTACTCGAAGTAAATTTTGAACGACAATATCTATCCTAGATGGTCCACCTTAGAAAAAGTGAAAGCTGAATTTTCAATATCAGCACCACACCTTTGAGTGATAATGAACTTTTTCACTGCATACTTTAGATGTTGGGTTGTTTCAAATAATCTGCAGCAGTTTATCAATGTATGCTTCGTGTTAGATGATATTCGTCAACAGCAAGTACTTGTGAGATTTGAACCAACTAGTATCAAAATCAGAGGCGTTAAAACGGGGCCATCAGGTTCGAAATATCCGTACATCATGACTGGAGTATTCACCACAATCAATCACTGATCAATGAGCAATGTGAAACTTCTCTAGTCCTTAGCCTTGATTGAATTCTATCGGTTATGTTGCAATGTAGCCACTATATTAGGTAACTGAAGGTTGAGTTCGCTATGTTTAGATGCTAGGTGGTTAGAGCTAATCGTCTATAGACCTTGAATCCAGGTATCGTGCATTTCGGTATTCGTCAACTAACCTTTTCTACAAGGATACCCAGTGATCAGTCAGTGTATTTTTTTTGTTAGCAAACATGTTCTAAGATTTCTGTAAACAGGATTAATTGATTCTCATTCAGCGAGTGGTGAGTCGCTTACATTACACAGCTTAAATATGACATTTTAGAAATCGAAAAATCGTCAGTGGAATATGGCTTGAGCCATACTGAATTAAGAGTTATAGAAAGAGAAGTTACTCTTTAACGTGCTGCTTAGTTAAATTCAAAAAATTTACTTCAAAGGCTGCCTCAAATCAAAAAAGTAAAAATCTATAAATTATTATTCCAAATATCATTCATGTAACCCTCCTATGTTTTATGAATATAACTTAATGTTTGAAAATGAATATATTATATTTCCACCTTTCTAGTCAGGTTTCTGCTTCATTTAACACAGACAAATTAGTGATTTCAATGTCCTTTTAAGATATTTTTAATGTGTTCATGGGTTTCATCAGGTTTAAAGTAGTGTATTATCATTTTATAACTGAATTCCTAGATGAACGATACGGTCTGATAAAATATGTCCTTCATTTGGACTTTATTGTTTGTAAAGAACTTAATTAATAAGCTATATTAACAAGTAATATAATTACTATTTATGGACTTGAGATACTAAAAACTAAATAATTATTTACATAAGATTGAACACAAAACAGATTAGTGATTATTTATTTTGCAAACACTAAACGTTTTAATCTAAGGTCGTTCAGTATTCAGCAAACAAAACCTTCATCTGTGATGCTTTCCCCTCTCTCCCTAATCAACAAATCACTAATTTTTTGATTGACTAGGAAGTGAATCTCTAATTCCTACTTAATTTTTAATAACTTACTCCATTAATACATTTGAAACAGAGTTTTGTTTCATATTGATTTACTTTATCTCAGTGGAACAATGAGTCTTTTCTATATTTAACGATGCGAAGTATGGTATGATTTTGATAGAATCCTAATAAAGACAACCACATCTTCAAATACTTTACATCGTAATAATGGTTAATATCGATGCATCAATATGAAACAATATGGTTTTTCTTGAGGCCAATATCGCTAACTCTTGTATACAATGTACAGTTTTGAACAATTTTTCTATTGTACATGTCTGGTATAAATTTGATTTTCTTCAAAAAGTATGCAAGTCAGTATCTCAGTAAAAATGAAGTTTTTTGGAAAAAAATATCGAAATAATATTTTAATCAAAATGATAATAAGAGAACGGGAAAGAGAGGTCGTTCTCAGCGTCCACTAATGTCTCAATCTGGATCCACGTATAGCCACATATAGCTTTGATGCCTCCCTAGTCTTGTCGACCAACTGGGCATTTCGACCACAACCAATACCATTGGTATCTTTTCTAACCATACCACAAACATATTAACTCACATGATTGTGCCCAGGAGAGTTAGACGCCCGAACATTAGAATTAGTGGTCGCAAAAACTCCAATTATATCATCATTGTACAATCGATTACCGAATCTCAATTCTGTATTTATGGCCTTCTTTAAGCTATCTTTTCTATATTTTGGAAGTTTGTCAGATGATATCGTAGATCATGCTACTCTAAAATCATTAAGATACAAATTCATCAGTTTAACACTACGTGTATTCCATTTTTTTTTTACCAAAACCTTTATAAAAGGCCACACATATTTCACACAATTGATAGTCATTATTAATATACTGTATGTGTGATTATTATTTTAAACAAGAATATAACTATCATTACGATTACTATTATTATCATTACTATTATTGTTATTATTAGATTGAAACATTGTACAGTTCAATAGCTTTTTGTTTAAATTATCTCATCGTTGGCGACAAAATTAAGTTAAACAATTGGCAAATATTAATTAGTTTATTTGTATTTTTGATACTTATCTAATTTTTTTTTTCAACTCATATCAACAATATGAATAAGATTATCATTTTACGATTAGTATATAATTGTTTTTTATCTTTGTAATATGAAAAATGATCGGTTTAATTTTAAGTTGTCAAGTAATTGGGGTTCATTAATTGCGTGATATGATTCCCGATAATATATTTATATAATGTTACATTGAATTAAGAGTGTGTGTATATGTGTGTTTCATGATTTGGTCACTATCAGTGATAATAAACTGTTCATTATCACTACCACTATTAAATGATCATATGTTTGTACTACTGAATTGCTGTCTCTAAGTAATCTAAGTGAAATTTAGCGTTTAAAGAGTTAAAGTATTTTTTTAATGAATGATTCCCATTTTCTAATCGTTTTTACTTATTTTCATCTGCGTTCCCAAATTATTTGATGAGTAATTTAAGACTGGTTGTTGTCAGTAATTAACACCAATCGTAGAATTCTTGAAATACAAGGAACAATAGACTGTAATTTTATCTTAGTTTAAGATACTTCACCATTCTGTACCAACATCTCCATACAAGGTTTAGTTTAAAACTCGAAGATCTCAAAGTAAACATCATACTGATGAGCCACTAGACTGAAATCTAATGGTCTAGTTTCTTTCCTTAGCAGTGCTCATCCACTCATCCTTCAGGTGTTGAATCCAGGACAATCAGATTTCTCAACGGACACCTAACCATTAGAGCCAGTGATTCATAACCCAATGGTAAAATCCTAAGTTCAATCAATTACCAATTTATCATGAAAATCACTTAATGTCACTGATAACATGTGTTTCACTCCCAATGTGTTTGAATTCCATTAGTCACAACTACTCAGTAATCATCTAATAGTTTATATTAAATCCTCTATATTAACTAACTAACTAGATACTATGATTAAAATTAAATACCATAAGTGAATAATTTCTTCAATCTACTCATATCAATAATGATGATTAGTCTGATAGAATAAGTGCATTTTTCACTTTTTTTTGAGAATTTGTTTTAATTGATATCGTATAATTCACTGAGCTTGATAGATACAGGTGCTGACTAGGTAACAGAGTTCTACTAATAGTTGTTTTTCTAAAATTATTTACCATCAAAAAGGTATTTATCGAAAGAAGATACTTAATTAACATTTCAACAGATGTTGGTAATAAGTTTGTAGCATTATTCCGACTATCTAATGTTGAGAATCATATTTATCGAATTTTTATTAAATCAGCTACTAAGCATTGGTCTTTTTATCCGTTTCTGGTGAATATGGATATCATATCACAAAACTTGGTGATAAATTATCGAAATCATCATTCAAATTGCAAATATTTTAAAAATATCCTCGCTTCTTCAGCATATGCCGATTTGAAGAATCAAATCACTAAACATCTGGAATAAGCGGTAACTAAGTTTTGGTTATAATGTAAAAGTCTTGAATAATTGTAACTTAATAAATAAGACAAAATACAATAACTGCGAACAACAGTGTGATGTAAAGCCAGTCAGTCAGCTACAACGTAGGACCAGGCACATATGTACATCGGTCCAAGTTGCCATACCTCATTACCACAACAAGATGAACACTGAATTCATAGTAGTTAATTCAATGGTAGTAATATATAAAAGAAAGATTGCATATAAGGTTAAAGTACAAGAGGGAAGAATTAGTTCGTAGAAAGAAAGCTATAAAGCAATTTTAATCTCATAGTTTAAGGGAAGATAGAGAGTATATACACCTACGCCATTGTGATCGATTCTGAGCCATGTCACCCAGAGTCTCCAACCATTGGTTACGATAGTCACGCCGACCCCAACCAAGTAGTCTGCATCTATCAACATGGCTCAGACCAGAAGTTAGTGACTTCAAGCACTGATGCCACGTTTTGGTTTGGCCGCTCCTAATTCTCTTCCAACCATCCCATACACTAGTCAGCATTGCGCGTCGTGGTAACCGGTGTTCAGGCATACGCAACACGTGGTCCAACCATCTCAGTCGATGAAGATTCACAACCCCATCAACTGGTTTGCCATCATTCCCTAATACCCTGCGTCTAACCTCACAATTACTTACCCGATGATCCCAGCAGATGCCAGCAATATTTCTAAGGCATTTGTGGTCAAATACTAGTAGTTTACGAGTATCTTCTACTCTTAATGTGATGTAAAATTAACATGTAATTTAAAGGGAACACTTAATGACCAAAAGCCACTTACTTCTTTATGGTAATGTTACTCTTTTAATATATAGCTATAAAGATACCAATACGCCAACTTTAATGAACTCAATAACAATTGCATTGTTGACAATTATTCTAAAGGGAACTAAACCCATACACAAGGTAATTGTAGTTGTATTTCTATTTATATCTGTGATACGTAGCATCCGACATCTTTTGCAATAAGTGACACAAATCGCTTAGTAGCTTAGTGGAACTGGATTTTTACCCTAGTGTCAACATCCAATTGATAAGTCACAAGCAGAATGAGATGATCATCCTGAATTCCCCCTCTGTCCACAAACAATAGAGACCACTATTATTTGAATAATTTGTCAGAGTATAGTGTGCATTCAAAGTAGTATAATTAAATAAAGTATTTAATTATCTCGTTAGCATTTTTCTGAAATCTGTTTAAGATTATCTTATATATCATAAAAACTGCATAGATTTTGATGAGAAATAAATGGTTTTTCCTACTATCACTGTAATTACTTATCAATAAATGCTGAGTTTTGCTTTTATGTGAAATATATCTCTATTTGTCTTTTTTTATTCAATAAAAGAGATCACCGGATCTCCTCTGATCATTAATGATCAGTTCACCCCTGAATATACTATCATTATACATGAACTTCGAATTTTAATTATTATTATTCATTTGAACTGATCAATGAAATAGTTTAAATCAATACAGACAACTTCTTATTCATCCCCCCCCCCAAACTTAATCTAAATGAAAAACCTTGTTTAAGAGATTTAATGAATTCAAGTAAACAGCCAATGTGTATGTGTGTTTGTAATAACCTTGAAAATGGGATAAGAAGTTTGTATCTCAAAAAGTGACAAACTAACGGGTAAAATGCGTTTAGCTGAAACAGTGTTGGGAAATTAATTTGTAAATACTGCGTAATATAAACGTTTCTTTTTATATTTAGCCACATCATATTCTTTTACTGAATAATGCTTTAAAAAAACTTTCTTTAAAGTTGTAAGTGAAAATTAACAGAAAAATTCTCTTGTCATAGTTTTTACCTTATTTAGTATGATGATACGTACCTGGATGGATCATTGTTTTTGTTTAACTAGACATTAAAACTGGATGTCAGCAAGATATATCTTCACCCGATGGGGAGATTATCACTCCAAATTGGCCAAATGAATATCCCGTGAAGCAGAATTGTCATTGGAAAATCACTGTAACACCTGGTCATCGAGTGAAAGTTGTAAGTGGTCATTTAGCATAATTAATCTCATTTTACCATAGAACTGTGTATGATATTCATTATAAGGTTTTGATGTATAAATTATTAGATAGGGTACGTTTTCCATATATTGTTGACAGGAATTTATATGTATTTTAATCGACATATTGTTTGCTTTTAAGGTCTAGTCGTTGAACGTTTCAACGTCAGTCTAGACATTGTCTTCATAGAATACACCTGATTATGGTCATTCGAATTGGTGAATGCTTAAATAAACATGAAGACACGCTCGTTAATTATTTAGTAATAACGATAAAATTAATAAGTTAACAATGAATCATAATTTGAATGCAGTAAGAGGATCAAAATGTAGTACGGAATGCATCGACGAAAAACTCGCGTTCCTCAGGAAAACTCTAGCGGAAAACGACTATCCAAGTTGCTTCATAGAAAAGAATATTTAAAAAAAAGATGTTGGGACAAGGAATCCGGTTCTTTGTCTAAAAGTAATACCTTTATATGAATCTGGAATTTAAAGGTGACCAAACATCTGATGTAACTAAAAATAGGGTAACGGCAGCGACAAAAATAACGATCTATGCGGCAAAACTGCAAATAAAGTTCACTAATGGAAACTTGTTTTCTGTATCTGTAAAGGACAAGCTTCCTCGTCTGGTCGCCTCCATGTACATTTGCCAGTTCACCTGCTCTTGTAGAGCTGGGTACATAGGCCATAGCCAATGCTTGCCTTCAACTCGGATAATAGAACATTTCCCAGTGTGGTTCTATAAGAGTGAGAGGAAAGCAGTTAGATATTCCATCCTTGAGCATCTAATCGACTCTGATCATTCTACCGATCCATTGATTGATGTTATGGTTATGTATTCAATTAGTACCAATTTACCCAGACTTATTCGCATCCAACTCCTTAAAATAACAGAGGCTCATACCATCCATGAGCTCAGGATAGAATAGTGCGTACCAAAGAAGTACGTCCTATCGTTATCGTTCCTTTGGTCTTAATCTATTATTATTATTTTTTCCATTTTGTAATCCCCCTTTTCCTTTACTTATGTCTCATATCCTCATGATCTTATTCATAATTATTCATGACATTACCTCATCTAATTTTGCACCTCTATTACATTTAATCACCTTTAGTTACCTTCACTTATTGCAACAAAATCATTTTGATCCTTCTATTGTACTGTGAAATTCGACTATCTGATTTAGTATTTAGCATAATGAGTAAAAAGGCCTTGATACATAAAAAAATCCATTGATATCAAACGAGAAACTCTGTTGTATTATGTAAGAAGTAAACATATTTTTCAAGTATATGACTGAAAGTATCACTATCAATAAACATTATCGTCAGTAATAGGATAAAATAATCGAACTGACTTGAAAAGTTGATTTAAGCAGTTTATCAACCATAGTTTATGGCAAAGAGTTATTGATTCTTAGTAGATTTACTTATTTACTTTTAACTATAATTGTATTGTAGATATTTGCCGATTTTGAACTTGAGTCACATCAACAATGTACGTATGATCAAGTTATAGCTTATGATGGACCAACAAATAGTTCCGCTTTTCTTGGTCAATACTGTGGTAGTAGAAAACCTGGCCCAATTATTTCTTCACAGAATCAGTTGTTGCTTACATTTAATTCTGACTCATCTGTACAACGTAAAGGATTTCGAGCTCAACATACTACAAGTCAGTTGTGATATTCTATTAAGAAATACAATAGTGATTATTAGAGTTAGAAATATGAACTACTGAACGCCAACTTAGTGGTCTGAAGGTTAAGTCCTGTCCTTCAAGCCTTAATGTTATATGTTTGATCCCTGATGGGGCTATATTTGCCTACAGCTGAGGATTCCCATTCCAGGACATAATATAATCTACACCTTGTTGTTTGGTGTAATTAAACTTAGAGTTAACTTCATTTACAAATATAAAACTAGAATATTTAACATATCCAGTCATTTTTAAATTATTCTTCGTTGTGCGATTAATAAGAACTAAAAATTAGCTCACATCTTTCCTATCCTGTGCTTGCTTCGACAACATACATGTAATAGCTATGTTATAACTATATATAGCATTCACAATTTCAAGATTTAATCGACAGGATAATCTTTGTAGAGTTGTAAGACTTGGGAACAAAATGAGCCTCAATCGGTCGTAACGTGACATGTCGTAGTTTTACTTATGTTTCTAGGTTGATATTTGTTAATCAGTGGTAGTTTATCAGTAAAAACTCAGATAAATGCTATACAATGATTTATCATATCTGAAGACATTTATCTTCAAATAACTTTATTGTGATATGACTAAAGATAGCTAGACATAGCTCATATCGTTGCCAAACAATAAGTACGAATATGGTCGGAGAGATACAAATGGAGGAAAATACTGACAGATTGCTATTTGTGAATCACAGAAAACGTTACTAATATGAGTACTGGTGATTATTTCTATAGATTTTTGTAGTGCAGGTATCTGATTATATTTCGAATCAACCTGGGTTAGTTTTGCAGATACCATTGAATAGTGACGTTGACTCTTGGTATGAAAACAAGTTTACCAAGATCGTATGGTCAAGAGATGCTAAAAGCATATAACCCTAAATACGAACCGATTGCTTCGATCGTATCATGATGAAATTTCTATTTTGTTGTCTTTGATCGTCACTTGATGTTTATCTACTTTCGATTCACAGGTAATGATCCCTCCGACACTGTGTTATCAACCTCACTTGTCAATATTATTTTGGGCGCATATGTTCGGTTAGTACATCGTGACTACTTTAAGTTAGCAGTCATCAAGATAACTGAGTCTGAAAATAGTTGAGATACTAAAACAGTGAAGATTTGTGCCTTAGGTGGATGCTTTTGCTTGTGACGTGTCGTATGATGTGCGCGGTTTAACTACAAGTCTTTTATTGTCTGTTTAAGTAAACAAATCATCTCTGTATGAATCAAGTACTGATAATACAGTCCAGAAGGGTAATAAAAGCATCATAACAAAATCACCCAACTCAGAAAACAAATCATTACCCAAATTTCAAGAAATTAAAAGAAACCAACTTATCTAGAATTTATGCTATTTTAACACCTTGGTATGAGATTTTGGCGAGACTAATTTATGGACGAGCCAATCAGGAGCGTTTGAGCAATTTCAAGGGCACAGAGCCTAGTTCAACACCTGATGCTCACATACGATCGGTTTACAGCGGATTTTAGAGAAGAGGTGATTATTGAGCTGCTACAAGAGATGAGACTACTAAGAAGTTCTTGTACCTATGACTGCAGTAAAGTGTTCAGACTACCGTGATGAGATTGTATTTCGTTGTTCTTTATGTTAGAGGAAAAAGTCTGCTCGAACGGTGACTTTCTTCGCTCGATCGCGACTGAAACTGAGGCAAATCATGATAATAGTTGCAAATTGGATAATAAAGACACCAGTAACACTGGCTGCGGCGTTTGCAGATGTTACTGAAACTTCAGCAGTTCAGTGGTATGAGTATTGTCGTGACATATGTGCAATCAAAATGACACGTCTACATCAATCATTCAGAGGAGTAGAAAGTATTGTGGAGATAGATGAAACAGTAGTGAGAAAGCGAAAATACAACAGGGGACGTAGTATCAAGGAAGATTGGGTGAGTAGCGCTTCCGTAAATATACTTGACAGGTACTTGGAATTTATGATCGATCAACGCAAAAGGGACATTTTCAGAGGGTCAGAAACCGGCAAGCAAGCACAATAATACCAATTATACAGGAATACGTGCAGTCGGGCACTACGGTATATACGGATGATTGGAGAGCTTATAGATGCCTTCATAGACTTGGCTACGTCCATCATGTCGTGGTGCATAAACGTCATTTTGTCGACCCTACTACTGGCGTTCATACTAACAACATTGAAGCCATATGGTCAAGATTGAAGGAATTTTTAAGACCGTACCATGGCTCTAGAGGACGACTATTATGGAGTCGTATGGACGAGTTCCTATATCGTATGCATTATGATTTCAGAACATCTGAACCTTTATGAAACCTTAACAAGTTTTTATATCATGTAAAAGAAGAATATCCACCGTAATTCATTAGTTTCTTATAATATATTTTTACTTTATACTGTCTTCTGATTGGCTAATAATTGTCAAGGTCATTTAAAATTCGTTCAAGGTTCGTCCATACATTAGTATCGCCGAGATTTTTAGATTAGGAATAAGATTTTAGAAATGCAAGTTTTTTTTTGTTTGGTGAGTATTGATTTTCTTAATAACTTTCTCCTAAAGTTTGTGGTGGTCATCTAACTGCTGACAGTGTTCCGCAAACAATTTATTCACATGCTAAGTTTGGTGATCTCGATTACGAATCAAATCAACAGTGTTACTGGACAATTACACCAAAATTAGATAATCATACTGTTCTACTGAGATTTCTTTATTTTGAAGTAGAAGAAGAAACACTATGCACGTAAGTTTATTAATCCTGAACAAAAATTATTTATTCTAGTGATTATTTACAATGGGGATAGTCTGGGAATGATGTCTCTGACTGTAGTAGACAAACAGCCCGGCTTCTCCCAAATGCCCTGAACAGATTGAGTAAAAGCGATGACTTCTGCTATAACAGAATGAATATCATAAAATTTGGTACTGATTTCCCAAATTATTATTGATTTTTATTTTGTTGAATGACTAATTATTAACTAGAATACTATGTTTATGCATTCCATTTATCATAAGCTTTCAGTTAATCCATGAACTACTATCATACGACTTACTGTTCCCAATTTCTCAATCTATTATTTACAGTCTCTCCAGTTCACAGTCACTTTGGTTTGTTTATATACAGTTATAATCTTCTATTTTATGATGTGATGCTGTCCAGTATGTCTGTATATCAACCACATCTGCTTGAAATAAAGATATAGTAGATGCTGGTTGTACATGTATTCCACATTTGTAGAGGAATGAGTGGAGTATGAACTTGTTTTTGCCATCCGCTACAAGAAAAGTACATCTTCTGAAGGTACTTCACTGCCTTTCGAAAAAGCCTTCAAATTAAAGACGCAATCACATTCCCAAGACGGTATCACAGTCCTCTCATAAGTTGTGTCACATACCTCAGCGGAAAGATATTCTTCTGTTTTATGTTCACATAAGAGGTGATCTCTTCCTCTTGAAAATAATAAACAAGTTGCTATTTTCAGAAATGACAATAAAGTATATTCAGATTTTTTTGGAGATCTAGCAGCGATGTTGCCTTAATGTACTTCGAACCTAAATAATTCAAAAAGCTAGATCAGTCAGTCAGTAACAAAGTAGAACTTCGTACGTACGTACATCAGTCCGAGTTGCCATACCACATTAGCACAGAGGTGCGGTTGTCGATTAAAATCCCGTAGTAAGAGTATAAGCAGTAATCCGAAAGATTAGGGTTTGAAGATGTTATTCAAGGAGTATAATCCATGTGGAACATGCTTGCATTGTTGCTTATAGTGGTCAGAAGACTGAATTTTGTCAGCGTCTTCACCAAACAGAACTATGTTATCGGCATATTCTAAGTCAACAAGTGAATCTCCCGGTAGAAGTTCAACTCCTGGAAATTTAGATGAAAAAAGTATTATCTCTAAAAGCATGTCAGCGAAATAGTTAAACAAGAATGGAGAGAGTGGACAACCCTGACGAACACCACTTGAGGTAATGAATTCTGATGACAGTTCGCCATAAGCTCTCACTCGACCAGTTGTGTTCGAGTAGAGAGCCTTCACAAGGTTAATGTACATCTTTGGTACTGCTTTCAGTGACAAACACTACCACAGAACCTCACGATCGACAGAGTCAAATGCCGCCTTAAGGTCGAGAAATACGATTGTGGGGCGTCTGAATGTATGTCTATGTTCTAGGACCTGATGTAGTGTGAATATCTGGTCTATACAACCACGTCCAGGTTGAAAACCAGCCTGATTTTCTCTAGTCTGCTCTTCACGAGCTTTAGTTAGGCGTCGGAGTATTATTGAAGCTAATATTTTAGACACTATCTTAGTCAAACTGATTCCTCTGTGATTGTCACAAGAAGACTTATGTCCTTTTTTATAGACTGGCACAATCAGTGATTGAGACCAGTCAGATGGGATTACGTTCAGTTCCCAAATTCTACCTAAGACCTCAGTCAATCTCGCTGCTAATACTGGACCTCCATCCTTAAAAATCTCAGGGGTAAACCTGTCAGGGCCTGTTGCTAGATAGAAAGCAGTGATTTCCGTTTGTTCATCAATATTTATTAAAATTAGGAAGATCTATAAATGACGCTTAATCCGTCTTCACAGAAGACATATATATCCTGTTTAGACTGTCCATAACAAAAGGTGAGGTCTCTCGAAATTTTCAAATATTTTCTATATTCGGCTTCTGTTATTAGCATCGATCAGATCTTACCTGTTTCTCCGTAAAATTACTACTGATTTGATATAGATTCGAGAGTATTTCAACCCATTCAAATAATCAACCTCAAGCAGAAAGACTATTAGCTATCTATGAAAAGATTTGTAGTGTTTATTTTTTTGTCTCACCGATTGCCCAGTATTTTAGTAAGGTATACAATACATTTTATTTTAGAATTTTGGTATGTCTGTACCTCAATCTAGGTTTGAATTATCTGTGGGGGGATCAAATGCATTTCCAAACTACCATCTGAATCACATTGCCCCATATGATGAATTAAGTAGTTCATTATATACATATATACTTATCATTAGGTATAAACGAACATTTTACTCTTAAGCAACATGGGTGAAGGTATAGAAATAATTTGTCTATAAATTAGTTGAAAGCTGAAACTCTCATTCCAGAAATTCTTAAAATTATCTTTAACATTTATTATTCATTCTTGTTTCTTTGTTTCTTTGTAATCGTTATGAAATTACATCATGCTTGTTAACATCCTCGTATTATTCAGGTACGACTATCTTCGAGTTTTCGATGGAGGTGATCCTAAAGGAAAACTTCTGGGTGGTTTTTGTGGGAGAACTGTAAGTGAATGGGCATTTTTTGAAGAATTTTTTTTTTAACAGTTACTAGCCATATCTTCGTCTTTTGTTATGCATCCACTTTTTTCCGGGCTATGATTAAAATTACTGTGGTTTTTTCATTTTAGCTCTAACAATAAATTTTGAGGGTATAACCATATTTTTTTAATTGTAGTATTTGACTTGAGTGTTGTTCTACCCAAATATAAAGTATTTTGAGTAACAAATTATCTGTGACTGTAACTGCATTCGAACTTCATTTTAAACGGGTGACAGTGTGGTTACTAGAACTCATTCTTCATAAAAAGACAGTCACTGTACAAATTATTGGCTCTTAAATCTGTCCTGAAACAATAAATAACTGACTATACTGTTTTTAAAATTATTAATATTATTGGGTGATAGGTTTGAGGAGTGCAAAAAGGGGAGGGACGGAAATTTGTTCATCAGTGCGGAGGCGAGTGTGAATAACAAATTTGAACAACAGTTGTTTTCATGTTGAAAATAGTGAATTTCACGTAGATTTTTTCGAATGCTAGGAAGCAATACTCGCAAAGTCTATCACTGATAAAGTTAGAAGATCATACAGGAAGGGGTAAGAAAATTATATCCTTTAAATTGATATTGTATTTATTCATGAATTCGATTTCTAACTGAACTGAACATTCCATCTTTATATTATTACCTTAGAACACTCTTGTTTATAGCTCTGCTCTCTTCTAGTTTTTCTCTTCGGTGAAACATTTTCTTCACTGACAATAATTGTTCTTTCAAACAGCAATAATCCCCAATAAATTTGCAAAATAAACTTTAGCTACTCACAAGTAGTACTAAATCATTTCAGTTGCATTTATAGACACCCGATACAACTAGTGAATTTCACTCAAATATAACAACAAAAACAAACGAAATACGATGTCATAAATCTTTATTTAAATAACCTAAAATAAAGTGATATAAAAACTTAAATCCTTTTTTATAGTTTTTTCTTCAGTTTACTACTTATGGTAATTTCAGTGTGAATTGATGCTTTTATGTATTTAGTGTTTTAATATAATTCTGTGATTCGGATGGAAGTCGTGATAAAACCCAATGAGATAACAAGTAAATTTGATTTTAGCATGATAAGAAATTGAAATTATAGTTAGGAGGAATTTCTTTCATTTCACTTGAAGTGTGCTTTCCATTCACAAGATAGTTTAATAATTCTAAAAATATTTATCTGTTTAAATCCTTGAATGACAAGAGCATTATATTGTACACATGTTCCCATCCAAACTAAATTAATACTTGTCACAGCATATGTAGTAATAATGACAATACATCATTGGTGAGTTTTCTTGTCATTAGATTTAGAAGTGATTTTTTCGCCCTCACATTTTTTTAACAAAAAATACGGTCGATAAAAAGTTATTCTTGTTCATTATAACGTTTCTTTTTTCCAAATGATTCTACGTGAACTGATGTCTGATGGATAATAAATATTTGCTTTTCATGAGCTAACTTTAAGATTGGTTCTTGAATTTTTAGTAAGAAACTAGGACTGGCGAGTTTGAATCATGTAGGATGTAAGGCAGTTTCTGATCGATGCCATCGTATGATCATGGCGTTGTATTATAAATTGATTACACTCAGAAAAATTGACTTTTGGACACCGACTTAGTAGTATGAAGGCATGACGCGCACCATGGGATTTGAAGATACCACGCTCAATCCCTGGTGGTGTATTAAGCGAATATTACTTAGAAATTCTTAAAGATAACGAATCATCTGTTCAAAGCTTAATCACCTTCAGTAATTCTCCAATTAATATCATTTTTTTATGGGAACCCGGCTTTAGATTGAACTAACCCCAACTTATATAACTACTTTGGTTCAAAACGAGTTTGGAAATTAAAGAAAAGTAAAATTATGAAGAATTCCATTATGCTACTTAACAATATGTATTTATATTCTTAATGTAGTAACTTTCTATATTATATTTATATAAATAAAATAATAATAAGTGAATGGATTTTAACAATGGAATAACTACTCTTGAATGATGATGGAGGTGATAATAATAATAAGCAGAAAACATAAAAGAATGTAAATTTATCATGTTTATGAAATAAAAATAATATAGGATGGGTTTTTTTATAAATTCCTTTATTTAATTATCAAGACGAATACAATGGTGAAATACTGAGCTCTCCCCTATTTCCACTTTAATATATCTAGTTCTTTTAGATTTTCATATAATTCTAATACATTGTCTACATGAAATACTCAAATGTATTGTAAATGCAGTGAAACAAAGATTACTAATACTGTAGTGAATAAACACTCAGGTGGGGGGGGGACCAGTTTGTTGATTGATGCATAATCACATGGTCGTTTAGTAAAATGTGAAAATCACACATCATATACATCATTTGTAAATTTTCTTTGAAGTGTCTCTTACAAGCTTCGCTGTTCCTTCATCCCTGTTTTTATCTTTATGGCTTTCAGTTCCCTTCTCTTTTCTCTTCATTTTAATATTCTCGACCTTCTGCTCTCAGGTATTCTACTTCTGACTGGTGGTGGTATACTACTACTACAATTATTATTATTACTACTACCACTACTACCATAAATGACTTTGTTTAACATTCCAGGAACACTATGAGAGATGCTATTATTTTGTTGAACATGTATCCTATATATACCAAGGATTTGTATAATTTGACTGTTTGTTGATATTATTTAGACAAGTTGTCTAAACATAAATTCTATTAAACTTTTCTTTATTATCAATGTTCCTTCGATACATTGGTGTAAACCTACACACATCCAGGATATGCACACATATGCAAAATCAGAAAATCCAATTTAAATAAAGGAAAAAGTTTTATCATTTCAGATGGGCACTAATACGTGTACACGAGCTTACATACATGTACACAAACAATTAAAAGCACACACACACACACAGAGAGAGAAACCAAAATGCTTATCGGTTTATTTTCTATAGAAAATAAATGAGAATATCAACCACTTGGAGATGTACATTGATCACCCCTGCTATAATTTATCTAAACAGCCGAAACATCAATTATCATAAATTTTAATGGAAAATCATTCAAAACTATTATTATTCCGTAACCATTCTCCCAGACTACATAATTTTTGTTTTCACAAGATTTTCACTTAGTTGGAAATTATTATGTTGTAAAATGTACATTTTTTTTCAGAAAATATATTAATGGTTTAATCGTTTTGACCAACAGGTTACTTAGTTAATTGATCTTAGTTGCTATGATCATTTCTGTTGATAAATTTGACTACTGTCAAATCACTGCTAAAAATAGTTCTTCCCCCATAAAACATATGATTTCTGTCAACGTCTACAGATATAGTCTAAATGAATTGCTCGGATTGTGATAATTTTATTTGACTAGACAAATAATCTCTACTATAGTTATATGTCTCAATCACACACACGCACACACATTAGTATTGAATCCCGAAATAGCTTGAATAATAAATTCAATAGTTTACTAACCATACTGTTCATGTGTTCAGATCAAAAGTTTGTTTTTAGTAGAATCTAAGAAAGAAACACACACAAAAAAAAAACAAGTAAACAAACGACTTTTTTAAGTCTAAAATAGTATTGACAATTATTTCACACACTTTTAAAAAGTGACGATTTTTATATTCAGTCTATAATGGCAATCAATATAAACTGCACAGAAACTAAAGACGAAAAATAAATAAATATTTGTAATAAATCTATGAAATTATAAATAGCTCCCATTTGTCAACCTGGTAATCCAATTAATATTACAATCATAGTTTTTCTTAGTAGTATACAAATGGGTGGGGTTTGATAATGGTAACATAAATACGTTCTATCAGGGGTACTTCCTGTCACCAGTTAAAATGTAACAATTAATTGGGAAAAATAATCAACTGAATCTACCTGTCTAACTTTACCAACAGTAATAAATATTATAAGAGAGAATGCTAAAAAAATTAGCTCAATTGTCACATGAGTGCTTGTTTCGAATATTTAGAAAATCATGATTATTATTATTATTATTATTACTATGATTATAAATAGTGACATTAAACTTGTCAATATTATCACTAAGAGATGAAAATGAAATATATGCAGAAAATGACCAGTTCATGAAATAATTGAAATAATGGTTCCTACTGCTATTAAAATAATAAATTTGGATAAAATTAAACTGATTATGTTAATGAACTAGTAATGGTAGTGGTGGTGGTGGTGGTTGTAACGATTTTGGTACCATTTCGTGGAAATTTGTTTTAAAAAATTGAACATACCAATGGTCACGCAATATCACAAATTAGCTGTAGTTATAAATATAAACCATTGGATAACAGCTTAGTGATACAAAAGTTCGTTACTGGTACCGAAGCCTGCAGGTCCAAGATTTGTTCTTTGGTAGAATCATGAATACTGAGGAGTCCTGTAGTAGGGCGAAATTGAAGTCTAATCCTTCTTGGTTTTCAGTGGTAAGATCCAACAATGTAAGGTACAACAATAAATATTGACTTAATTTTTTTCATTTATTACCAGCCGACATTTTCCATATAGCATCTAGTATATTCAATACCAACGTTTAAATGGCTTGAATATCTATTCAATGAATTGATGATCCTGAATAGATTTGCAGATAAAATTACTGCGTAGTTACAGCAATAAAGTATTTTGTAGATACCATATTTCAATAGATCTACTTCAAGAAATTTTGTCAAGTATTTAAATGTTTCTGCATTTGCGGAAAACACTAACCATACAAAACACCTGTTCAATATTCCAATTTTGTTTGTTATGCTGGTTATTATCTATCATATGCAAATAAATGAAACTAGTCTTTTCTTCATATTATTTTCTTGTCAAAGTTACCGAATACATTTTTGTCAAATTCTGGACAACTGTATCTTCAGTTTGTTAGCGATGATACAATTGGTGGTAAAGGTTTTCAAGCACAATATCAAATGATTCCATATGATTTTAAATTACCGAAGCATGAAATCGATTCACAAGTGGTAATCAATCAAATACCATCTCATTCATCTTCCTCCTCTTCTTCATCTTCCTCATCATCATCTCCATCATCAGTTTATTATGGTAAAAACGAAATGTTACAGCAATATCAACCATTTCATGGTAATCGTTATTTATTTCCACCAGCATGGGGCACCGGAAGGATTCGTTATTTTGGTGATATGCGTAGTTCTGAAATGACTGAAAATTATCAATCTACCCGACCTTTTAATTATAATCCGTCATATCAACATGTAAAACATTCATCAACTATACAACAGACAAATCCTATGATCTACTCACAAAATAATATTTATCAACGTCGCGATGGAAGACTTCCTGTTAATCGAGATAATTCCCAATTACCTTGGCGATTTGCTTATACCTATCCACAAGCTAAAAGTTCATCAACTATAACTGCTACTAATAATCTTTTCAGATCCAGTCCGTCATACACAACATATAATTCCCGTTCATCTAAGCAAACTTCAAGTCAAAGTAAATCACCAGCAAAATTTCTACATACAACCATGCGACCAGTTTCTCCTATACTATCGCAAAATGCAATAAATTCAAGAAATCCACGTATAAGTAGTACATGGCATGTACGACCTGGTCGTATTGTACACCAACCTCAATTAAATATCATTAACAGAATAATTCAACCAAATTCAAAAAATTACCAATCTTCACCACGTGATATTCTTCGACAATTAAAATCACATTCGTATCAACGGAAGCAAACAGAACAAAATCCCAAAAGTCCTATGCGTTTTCATGTAGTCACTCAAAGGAATCGAAGCCCACCATTGTTTTCCGGTGGTAGCCAATGGAAACAGAGAAGTATGCCTTTGAGTAGTAGATCACGTTGGGATGATAGAGCTATTAAAGCATTTTAATTATTAAATATAAATTATAGTATTGCTTCATTTTCTTCTACAAATGCCTCAATTTTTTTTTGGTTTTGTTTTAACTTTATCTAAATTCATAGACGGAACTGATTGTAATGAAAATTAAAATAAGTTTATTTTTGCATAAAGAGAATTTTATTTGTGAGACAATTAAATTTTTAAGGTTTTGTTTAAATGAAACGAAATAAGCAAAGTGTTCAATAGATAAACGATGTTTAATATTTCAAGAATAGCTGGAATTACAATCTTATCATAACTAAATTAGTTATTAATTTTAAATGAAAATAATAATCTATTCCCTATTGCATTTTGTATAATAATTAAAAAGTCTATCACTACTGTTAAATTAGGTAATGTTTATTCGAATATATTAACATACAATTAGAAACATGACAAATATATTTGGTGTGGATATATATTGCATTTTATTATTCTATTACTCATTTATTGTAATTTATTCACTCCATATTTCCATGTTTCCATTTGTTTCTCGATTGTTCTTTTTTTTTGCATAAAAAATAAGTAAAGTAAATAAAGATGAACACACAATTTAAAACAAACAAACGAATAACCTTTGTATGTATTGAAATTTAAACTTCTTGAATAAATATTGTGATGTAATTAATATTAGTTGAAGCTTTTGTTTAGTTCAATGAAAGGTAAATGTGCTAATGAACTGCTAAATAATTTAATTGATTTCCATCATTTAATATAAATTTTAATAGTTGAATTCATGGGTCAATTAAGACTAGACCACTATGGAAAACCTGGAAGTATTGAACGGCCGTTCTATCCTATTGTGAGACTCCTCAACTGATAGGAGCTGATAGGTCCTGGTTTTGAGTCTCGTGAGGCGGGGTTGTGGATTCGCACTGTTGAGGAGTCCCATACTAAGATGAAACGGTCGTCCAATGCTTCCAGGTTTTCCATGGTGGTCTAGCTTTAATTGACAGATGAATTCAACTATTAAAATTACTATACTATCCACAAAACCTCTCTCTATTAAATATGAATATAAAACTAATACTACTGATACTACAACCACTACCACTACTATATAGTTTTAAACTAGGAGATAATATTATGACATTAGAAATATATACATGTTAGAAATATAAACGATATTTTTCTCCCAAATTAAAATTAAAATGGAAAACTGTTTTTCTAATAGTGATTTATAAACAGATGAAATGTCAGTTTCCCACTCTAAACAACATTTACATTTACTCAGCTAATAGAATATTACCGTCGATAAATGATAATTTACTTTATTCATATGTAAAGATAATTTCATTATTTTTTCCAAGTAAACAAGTTGAAATTTTAAGATCAAGACATAACTAAAACTAAGAGATAATCACTGGGCAAAATGAAATTGAAACGAACATCGTGAACTCTTGTTAACTACAAATCAATATTAAGCCAAATAGTTTATATATATATATAAGTTATGTCAAAGCATCAGCTTACGATTCACATAGATTTTGTTTTAGTAATATTGTATTCCATGAGCTAGATGATTTAACTAATAACCATTTAGTATCATTCTGGATAACATCATCAGCGCTAATAACAGACTAGACAAACTGACTTGATTGTCAAAAGAAGATTGGTTAAAAAATTCGTTTGATATCAGAGCATAAAGATATGGATTATGAATATTCTTTTTGTTGAATTCTTATCAGATTCTATAGTTATAAATCAACAGTAATGTTTTAGAGGGATGTTCAAGTGTTAGGTAAAGATTTTTAAAAAATATTATATGAATGTACAGCTGTTGGTAAAATTTGTTAACCGGAGTTAGTAAATGTGGAACTAGCAAGTGTATAGTGAATATCTGTTTCAGGTTGTAGAACAACTGAAATTAATCGGAGCAACACAAGGATAACATACTGTTAGACAAACAGTAATGTAATTAACAACTACACTGATAATTGTAATTGAGTAGAACTGACATAAGTTATGTATATTGGTCAAATTGGGCCCTTCGAGATGATTATTTGCTTATTAGGCTTAAGACTAAGTGGTAGCCTGCGAGAGTGAAGGTCCTAGGTTTGGTTCCCAGTGGGGTAATGGATTCCCAATGCTGAACAGTCCCATATTAGCAAGAGATACTCGTCCAGTGTTTTCAATAATGATATGGCTTAGGTCATTTTATTACTTCAACTATAAAAAATCGTAATTCAACAGCTAATTATGCTTCGACTTATTAGAGAAATTTCAGTGGGAACAGATAAACTTGAGAGATTGAGCAACACAGTTTTTGTTACAATTGGCGGAGATTAGTATTATTGTGACCTTTGCATACACCTATTCTTTTGTGGTCTTTGCAATATGGCAGTGCGACCTAATTCACATCTCTTATTGTGTGCTTTATTTTCTACAATTCTAAATATACTATGATGTTTGCCGATATAATTTTCTTGCATGTGGCATAAAAATTTACCTAAAGTCTCATCTCCCTTCTCACTCGCTTGCGGTTGTCATCATGGATGCCCTATTATACATGAGTCGTTATTCTAGCTAGCAACATAAATTGGTTTTGGATTCAGAGGAAACTGCAGTCATCCTTTCTTTGGATTCAAACAATGTAAATCCGCAATAATGGAGACAAGTGATGATTATGCATATAAATACAGAAAAGCTTGAACGTCTACTTGAATAATAGCTCATATCGATACGGATGCTTTTTATGCTTTCCTTGAAACAAATCATATCAGTCTACTTGATATTGTAAAACTATTGCATTTTTAAGTCTAAGATTTCCACAAATTGTCACAAGTATTTAAGGTTACGATCAAGGCAAATTACAAATATCTAAGAAAGGATATTTAGTAAAATAAGGAAATAACCAATGGTATTTGTGGGACAAAATGGATTGGTTTATGTTCGGTAATTTTCACACTGCTTACATGAATTCCATCAGGTTTAAGCATTCTTTTCAAGATTACTAGAAATCAAACGGAGAGAGCGTTGTTTACTCAAACTGAACTTGGAAACATAATAGCTGTTAAAAATTTATTTGCTACAGGTGCAAAGTTATACAACACATTTGCATCAATAATAGAACCTTTCAAATTGAAGCATAAATTACAATGACACCACAAGTGACCTTACTCTCACCCTTGTTTGAGAGTGTCCTCAGTTATGTTGTATATTAAGAAAAGCGTACTATTTGTCATAAAGTTAAACGTTTTGTACTTCCATCAAATTTAGTGTGAATTCCGTTTATTATCGATGTCATTAAAACTAGTCAAGTAAATAGTGCGAAACATACATCGAACTCATTGAAGTTTAGTAACTACGTTGTAAATTATCGGCGCCTTTTCTTATACCTAGATTCTTCCTTATCATACCAGAAGTAGGATGTTTTTCTTCAAGGCGACGAACGCAAACCACCTCAAAAGAGACAATCTCAAAGGTTTTAAAGTCATCGATGATTATTTTGTTCCACTTATGATCTGAGGTAGCCTTGCTCAACTTTAATAATTTATCTGATTTGTCTTTTTATAAGGATTTAAGATTTAAAATGTAATTCATGCAATACTGTTTATTCCGAAGAATAAATGTGTATTGAGGGAATCAAACTAACCTCACATCTTGAATAAATGAAGGCTATCATGAATTTGTAGGTTGATAGATAACGTCCTAATATTTAAAGCGATAGTGACTGTATTCGAGTCCCTGTGCATCCAGGTGAAGAGTCCCGAAAAAGACGAAACTCGCATCTGGGATTTCGTTTCTAGTTATCACTTCAAGTTTAATCATATTCGCCGCATAGTGCTTGAAATCGAAAGGGATTATCTTATGTTACTTTACTAGGTGTCTAAATTATATCCGATAATTAGTAGACTTTGATCAGTAATTAGTTTGAGCATAACTGGTTTCCTATCAACCAAACAGTCTGGTTATATTAGTAGTGATTGTTGGTGTAATAGAAGTAGGTATAACTTTGTAACAGTAGATGGATGAAACATTCATAAGTGAATTACCAAGCTTAAAATACAAAAAATAAATAAGTTTATATCAGTCTTCATTTAGACTCCAAACTTGTAAAATGTACAAGTATTTTAATTAGTATTCCTAATAAATATTGCAATTTTACGTAGTAGGCAATATCTCAGAAACTTTATAATATTTTTCATCATGGACTAACATCAGCTTTAGAACAATCGAGAATCAAATGGGGACCTTGACAGTTGTTTTATCGTTGTTTGAAACTGCTTAGTGCTACTGAACTTAATTTTCGATTGTTACCCAATAAACATCTAAAATATTCGCTTCAGACTTATCTAAAATATATCCTCTTTCTTTAGATAAAGCATTTTGTTTAAGAGAATATCAGTCTACAAGTTTTTTAAGTGATGTATGAATCAAGCTAAGTATGAGAATAAATATGTCTTTAAAGCAGTATTTCCTATTCTAAAGTGAACTACACTATTTATTCAATTATGTGAACTAATAACGCTGAAAAATCATTGTTTTCATCCTTCCTAATTTTTATAAGAAAACACTGTCATGAATACAAACCAGTAAAAATTAGTTCTTTTAGCGTATCGCATATCCATTAGAAAAATCGAGATCAAGTGAAAACCCTAACAAGCATGGGATATCAGACAGAAACCAACTTCAATTTATGGTTTCTAGTATTCACCAAAGTCTATTAACTAAATTATGTATTGTGGTGAAGCTAGATAAATCTAATTCAATGTTAAATATCGAGATTTAATAAATGGAAAGCCTTTGATCTAAGTTAAGATCTTGTAGACGAAATGTTACCATAACTTCCGGAAATAAACTTTCAGAATCATAACGCATGATCTGGACATTGAATAAAGATTGTGCAAATTAGTTTAATCGAAACTGACAGTTAGAAAATAGGAAAAATACAAAAAGCTTTGGTATTCCAATACACAATTTCCTTTAATGTTTGATAAATGAAAACCAATCACAGTTACTTTACTAGCACTTAAACACAATCAGTCCCTTCTAAAGAATAGATGAATTGTTGTTCGTAGTAGAATCCAGGATGTACGACTCGTCAGCTGAGTATATCTGTATCCCATTGTTGACGTCCATACAGGGAATCGAACCCTGTACCTTTTACTAGTGAGTCCAGATAACTACTAACTTATTCAACGAGTATACTGTTTAAATCGTTATTCCTAAGGGTTATCAACAATAGAATAATTCAAATCCACATCAGTCCGTCCTTCTGTTAAATTTAAGTAATATGAAGAGAAGGTAATGTTTACTTAAATATATGAAATGTGTAAAGAATTTTAAATCTATTTACCTAATCTTTCCACTTTAATCTAATCTGAAAAGATTAAAAACCAAGCAGATTCTTTGTTGTTTCTTTTTAAAAATAAGAGTTTTTATATAGAATGAGTATCAATGTTTCAAAAAAAACAAACTCTATGTTACATACTGTATCGTTTAAACTCATAGGAATTAATTAACTTAACTATGTTTAAATAAAGAAATAATAATTCTCTGATTAAACATCTTTTCTTTTAGTGTAAATAATAAAAGAACAAAACAATCTAGTTCAATGTTCATTTGTGAACTAGGTATCTATTAGTAGTCTATCTATGCATAATTTCTAAACATATGTCAATGAATTGTGACCTCTGCTATTTAACGTTGCAAAATTTAAAAGAAACACCATATCGTTGACATTGTTGGAGTTATTATCAGTTTTAATTATAATGTAAATGAGGTTTTTTTTTTGCTGTTTATAATTAGCTTCCTTACTGGTATTTTGCGTAGTCTTCACTGATTGGTTGAAAAGAATGGATACTAAGGTTAGAAATTAATTCCAAAATGTTGTGTATACAACACGTCAAAACAACAACACATATACATTCATAAATACACATACAGACTTTTGTATTTATGTTTGTTTATGTAAAGAGAGAGAACATGATGTTTTCCCGTTCAGAAAGACAAGGAGAAAAATACTGTGTAGGTGTGAAAATCACATCATAATGAAGCGACTAAAATCCTTTTACTACTACAAGTATTTAATACAACGATGACAACCACCACCATCCTATAACAGGCCAATCAATATTGAGCAACGAACTCTATGCATCCAATAATAAGGAAGGTAGTAAAGTGTGTTAAACACTGGTTGAACAGAACAAAAAACAACAGAACACGGACTAACTACTTGTAGTAACAGTTTTAATCATAGGGGTGAATAAATATCGCTTTTAACAAGCTGATTTTACTGTTTTTTGTTGTATGTAACAGAACAATAATAATCATAATGGTAAGATAACAAAGAAACCAGTTTTATTGGATTATGTATCAAACACACAAGTTGTTTGGGAAACAGAGTTAGAGGAATCAGTTACTGTTGTCATCAATTAAGTAGATTATCTGAATACAACCGCCCCCCTAAAAAAGTATTCAGCATGAAAGAAGTAAAGAACGAAAAAAATTAAAATAACAGGGATACAAGAAACAATTATCATCACTCCTCTTTTTGAAATAACCTTGTTAGAATTAAATAAATGTTCATTAGATTATATTAGTTAAATATTAACCTTGCTTGTTTAATCATTTACATACATAGACAGAAACATACAAGACTTCGACATTCAACTGCATAATTTTACTCAATAAATTTACTAATAAACAAGAAATCTCTTTAATTGGTACTGGTTATCGTCCCTAAGAATTTAATATATTGAAATAGAATTTCGTCTTTACTGATATATTCAAATAAGATCTTTGACTAACTTCTTTCCAGAGAACCAATACAACATGAATGAAAATGTAAGTCGGATATTTTCGTATTATTGTCTATAGTCTTGAATTGTTTTTTCTTCTTTCTATTAATCTGTTTTAACTTAATAATAAATAAAGCTTATCGGTTTAGTTACTTAGACTACATTACTCATAATAAGCATTGGAATAAAGTTGATTGATTGATTTTTTAAAAAAGTTTATTTAATTTCAATGAAGTTTCAAATCCATAAAATTGTTCCGTAAGATTTGACCAATTTATCTAATCAATTTTCAATATTTACCCATTTGTCTTAAGAACTAACTGGTTTGCTTCGCTTTGTAAAATGTATTCTTATAAGGTTGTATGTATGAACGGTGGTGCAATTTCATGAATTGGTTGAAGTTAGACATTAACACTGTTGAATGTTGACTCAGTGGTCTAGTGGTTAAGCAATAGCGCATGCAAGACTGAGAGGTCCTGAGTTGGAACCTCGTGAGGCGAGATCGTGGATGCGCACTGCTGAGGAGTATCATTACTAAGATGAAACAGCTATCCAATGCTTCCATGGTGGTCTAGCTTCAATCGACTCATGAATTCAATTATTAAATTACTATAATATCCACAAAACCCCTGTTTGACTAAAATATCTGTTGTTTAATTCAATACAATGTTCTGTTTTGTAATAAGCGTGATATTTGTTCATCTTTTATGCATACGATTGGATGATAGATATATTCTCGATAAAATCTATATTCACTCAGGTTTGATTTACTCAATATCACCTTTTAAATATTGTTTAAATGAATTACAATGTGTGTTTCTGTTTTTATTATTTTATTTGATGAGGTGTTTTATAACGATGAAAGTAAGAAAATCTTTTATTGTAAAAACTAACGAGATGTTGATGAGTATGTTATTGTTATTATTGTTTTCTTCATTCGTTTGACTGAAAAATGTGGGACAAAGATCAAATACTTAAAAACCGTTTAGAAATGTATGCATATTTTTGCAAAATTAAACGGATTTTGACGAGATTTTTCCATGTGCGTCATTTAATATTTAGTTTGGATGAATTGTGACTAGCACTAAAGTCAAGGATGACCAACTCGTCCCATTTGGAATTTATCAGCCCGATGTACTTGAATCACAATGCTGACGTTTACATTGAGACTTGAACCTAGTACTTTTCACTGTGATAGTAGGATGTGTTATGTGCTGAACTAGTGAGTTCGCATAGCTTCTAAATTGTTCAGCGTGGTTAATGTTTATGTGATTATTAATAAATGTTAGAGTTCCGACGCTAGCTACCATCATTTTGTTCTAAATAATTTGTGATATACTGGCTAGATCGAATCAATCCATACAGAGTGCACATATGACAGCTTTAAATATGTCCATTACATAAAATAAGTTATGCTCTATAATTATTTTAATTTGTTAAGCAACATTATCGAGGAATAGTGTGATTGTTTGTAAATTACGCAATTTATTCAGTTACTATATGTAATAGGTTTATAACTATGTTAGTCAAATAATCAATTAATGGGAAATTAGATCTTTTATTATTGTTAAAATCAAGTTATTAGTCGTAGTTATAATCACAAAGAATATCTGATTAGGGAAAATTACATACAATATCGTCTGGAATCACACTCATTCACTACTCTGGTAAGTATCAGTTTAAGAGTCAAGATAATCTCTAAAAATAATCCCATAAAACAAATATTAAACAGCTCATTTATTTTGACGGAGTTTTGTTCTCTGAGCTGGATGCGTTGGTTGTAGAGCTTTCATTGTTCTTCTGAATGACATCATCAGCACAAACTTCAGGTAGAAAAGTATTTTATAAATAAAAAAACAACAACCGAGAACTATTGTGATATAATACACAAGTTAACTTTAAAACACTAAGTTCAAGTCTAGTAGTTACTTAGTGGTATAATGCATATAATCTTCAATTAATATCCATTGGGGGGGGCAGTTATTACTCAATATTCTATTAATAATATTAATACCATCGTTTGAGAACTTAATTTCTCTAAATGATTAACTAATAATGGGTAACATATATTTAAAACTCTCTAAAGATAATAACTGAAATTTGATACAATAATATGTATGTATACAATAAACTTTTAACAAGGAGCAAAGTATAAAACTAATACATTATCTAATGAATAGTAATTATAATTTTTCATTGTTTAAAATTCAAATATAAATGAACAAATAAAGTGAAGCAAATCACATAAATAAATAAATTTAATGATATTCAATTAATTCCTTTAGTAACTAAGTGTAATCACAACATTGTTTTCTTCGCATTATATGTTTATTTGTTTATTTATTAATTAGCTTTCTTCTCAAAACAATTCAGAAACATTGAATTTTGATAGTGTTTTCTCAACAACTAATTTAATCTTATCAACAATGAATTCTAATGATTCAACACGATGTTTTGAAAAGCATCAGTATCAGCAACAATATAGTGAAGATGATGAAATAAATGTTACTAATGATACTATTAATACTACTAGTAGTAATGATATTAATGCAACTACAATTGTATCAGGAATGATAAAGCCAAATAAAAAAATTACTTCATATCCAGAATATACACAAGTTAATCTTCAACGAAAAAATTCTAATGATACAAGTCAAAGTGAACATAATGATTATAATATTATGAAAGAGGTGACTACATCAACATTATCATTATCATCATCATCACCATTGTCATCAACATTTTCATCAGGAGTTGAAAATAGAGACAATGTAACATTAATTACAACAAGTAATAATGATATTATTGACAAAAATAAAACAACATCTATAAATTATACAGATATTCATGAACCATTCAATAGATCTTTATTAAATTTTGTAAATCAAACAATGAATCAAAGTGAATTATCGACTCATCGAAAATACCCTATCAGTAATACATTTCCATCAATGAGCTCAACTCCTGTAAGAAATCTTTTCCCAAATACGATAACGAATAACAATACTGGTATTAATGACAAAAATCAATTAGTACAGAATAAACAGCTTGATAGCTTTTTACAAAGTCAAACTACATTAAATGCGTTGTCCATGGCTTATTCTTCTTTAATTGCGAATGGTTTATATGGTATAGGAAAAGAATATGAAAACGCTTTCGCTGCCGATAATAACAATAATAATAATAATAATAATAATAATAATAATGGTAGTAACACTCATAGCAGTATTACTCCACAATCCGATAAATTTACATCCATCATACAGCGTCCTTCAATTACGAATTTATTTAAACAACACTCTATGATCTCAACATCAGAGACTGCAACAATTCCAGCACCGGTAGGTACGGCAATTTCACCAATATCTACTGCTCAATCATCACCATCATCAATATTTCTAGCTAATTCATTAGAAAAAATCAATGCAGGAAATTTATCAAATTCATTTATTCCAAACATAAATAATATTATAAATAATAACAATGTCAGTAGTCAGCGTCATGTTCATCAGGTTCAGAAGAGTTTCCTAAATCCTATATTAGGACATGAAAGTAATTCATGTCAATTGAATTTCCCTGCAATTATGAATGATCTCTTAATTGTAAGTTATAGTATGAATTCGTCATCTTTGATATTTTATTATTGTTGGAATACGTATATATATATATATATATATATATATATATATATATACTGGTCAGATGTCTAGAGTTTACATCACATATCACCTACGAGATGATACTAATAAATAACCCGGATAACCCATAAAATATTTATGTAATCAGTTTTATACTACTATTACTACTGAATTAGTCAGAAGTTAATAATATACCATGTAATTAAGTTGAGAACGAATCGACAAAATATCGATTAAATATCCAAAGTACAAATTACATTGTTTTCTCGTAATAATGTTAAAGTCTATGTCATATTATGAATAACAAAACCTCATTTTAATATAAGCCTAAAGCTAAGATACAAATTTCCACATAATAAAGAAATTAAGTGGTTAGATAGAATGAGATACTGTGTAGAAAATGGAATTTTAGCAACCCTATACAAACAGTATGTGGTCAATACAATTGTCATTACATCTTAGTTCGAAAAACAACTACTCATTTATACTGGATAGTAAGATAGTTAAACAATGAGTAAAGATATATCATTTACTTTATTGGTCACCCAACAGTAAATATACAGTTGTTGAGTAACCAAGTTTGTGAAGACTGTTCAATTTGTCCTTAGTCGGCATCATAAAGCGATGAGAACTGGAGTAGTGTTGAATGCTAGACAATTGTTTCCTCATAGTATGCATGTTCTCAATGGATTAAATCCATGAAATTTTAGGATATTCCGGTAACGCGTTAAGTACAGTACTGCAGAAACAATTAGTCGGAATGTACTGGTTAACATTTCTTACTTAACAATATAGTTTGATTATTGTGCACTTATATTGGTGATATGTATCTCACTTCTAACAGAATTGAACTCAACCGGTCATAGGAATTCTTCTTGAAACTAAGGTTCCTGGGTTTCATTTACAACTGAGTTATACGAACTCAGTCCTTAAGAATCTGGAATGAGGATGAAACAGTTGTTCAGCTCTACCTGATTCTCAATTGCTTCCCAGATGAAGTCAGTTCGTATAGGAAACCAATTTAATTTTTTAAATTTTTATTTGCTTGCTAAATCTATTTAATAACCTCAATTCAGAAGGTTAAAAAACTAACAAATACAGAAAGACATTCGATCAGCTTAGCATACTTACATTACTGAGATTAGATTTTTCACTAATAATATGGAATTATTATCTTTTCAATGAATATTGAGGACCATGCAACAACAAGTATTCATAAAAATAATTGTATCAATGACATAAGTGATAATAACATGGGTAAAAATGATTAATTCTAGGCTTAGTTATTTTATTTTTAGTGAAAGGATCCGGTGTCATATTCTTTTCTTTATTGTTAACTTTATTATTCCTATTTATACACTTGTGTGATTGTGTATGAATTTGTGACAATGATATTATTCAATATTATTACACCTTCTTTAATATGAGCAAACAAAACTGACCATTTAGGATTTGTTTTATTAATTATAGGGTTTACAGATTTACCGAGATTATTATTATTATTATTATTATTATCTATAGTGTCAATTAATTTGATTATCCATTTGATTGAATAATAATTACTGTTCAATACTTCTTTGCATCCCATTAGTTAAATCAGTTTACTTATAAGAGTTTGATGATTATTAATAGAAATGTTTTGTAACTGTTAAGCCCCCCCCCATCCACCCAATACATATATGGAATAAACGAAAGTGTTGTTCTTTTCTTTTTTTCATCGGAAAATATTGCTGAATTATGAAAGTTCGGTTTGTTATCTTTTACTAAATTCTTATATATATAAGTATATTATAGCTATCATTCTTTATTAAATGGATTAGTAATCATATCAATTTCGGGTAATAAATGATGTGTAAGACTGATATTTAGTGCTGGTTATTTCATTACATTTGTCCTCTTTTATTTTAATTAAAGGAAAATTTGGAAAGTTGGCAACATCTTCAAAAAAACGCAGTATCAACTAATATAGATCCTCATTTATTAAACTTCTATAGTGGATCTTGGTAAGTGATAACGAGACAAATCTCTTTTTTTTCTTGTTAAAACGTATTACATAATAAAATTCTATGTTGTGCAATATTTTTGGTAAATAAATTTATAGTCTACTTCACAATAATCTAACATATGATCATTTACTTTAAACTCTTTAATTTATTCATAACTGGTTAAGCGTTTAAACGGTATTATCCTTGTTGCCAGTGGTAAAGTTTCAAAAGGTTCAGAATATCTAACCATGATCAAATCAAGATGAAATGATTGTAAAATACCTTGTTTTCCTTCAACATTCAAAGATCTGTCTACAAATAAATCACAGAAAATCTTAGTAATTTTTCGACGAATTCGTATCAGATGATAGGTTAGTTAATATCATAGAAGGGTTGTTGGGAATAAAATTTTCGAAAGATTATTTTACATATATTCTACTTACAACTAGACGTGTATTAATAAGTAGTGACGATACTACTGTATTAGTAATGATTGAGTTTTCATAAAATAACTTCAATGATAATAAGTGTTATCACCAAGTGGACAATAATTTGTACATTAAAAAAGAAAACTATATGACAATTAACATACAAAATGACGCAATCAGACTTTTTGTTTGTCATGAAAATTCAGGGTACTGAATTTGACTTTGTATACAGAATATGTTGAGCACTATTAACAAGACTTTATTATGGATGGTGCTCTACAATTTTCAATAATTCTCTTATTACTGCTATTTCATCATGTACATTACATAATAGTTTAACAGTAGCCAATTACCTATCGAAGACATTAGAGGATGGCTGTGCGGTACCGTGAATTGATTGAAATTAGAAATGTTCATAGGGATCTTAAGGCTAGGCACTTGAAACGAGATACGGAGACCTTGATTTCGATCTACTGTGTAGTTACAGGTCCGCGCTATTGATGAGGCAAATACTATAATGAAACAGCTATTAACTGCTTGTTGATTTCTGATGATTGCCTTATTAATATCATTCCATAATATAAACTATAGAATTTTAAAAAAAATCTCCACAACACCCTATAGTGATAATAAATATATATTTTTACAAATAACTTTTGACTAATCATCGGTTTCTTTCTTTTTATTCCATTCATATATTCAGTTGCCCTGTTGAATTGACTAGTACAAATCGACGTAAAAATGCTACTCGAGAAACAACTAGTTTACTTAAATCATGGTTAAATGAACATCGTAAAAATCCATATCCTACAAAAGGTGAAAAAATTATGCTTGCACTTATTACAAAAATGAGTTTAACACAAGTATCAACATGGTTTGCAAATGCTAGAAGACGATTAAAAAAAGAGAATAAAGTAACATGGAATTTACGTACAGATTGTTTATCAGATGTTGAACACGATGAACAATCTATTGAAAATGATGATATTGATGATGATAATGATAATGATGATAAAATTAATACTAATGATCATGATGATGTTACTAGTAATACTAATGAACATAATTTACAAGGAATAACCGGTTTAGAAGGCTTAAAACAATATTTACTAAGTAAAAATACAGAAAATTATAGTAAATTATCATTAAGTAAATTATTTGATAAAAATGGTAGTTTACAAACAATCATTGAAGGTAATAAAAGTAAATTAAATAATCGATTGCGTAATTTTACAAATAATTGTGATCAATTCGATTCTATACCAAGTAAACGTCCAAATTTAGACTATGATAATCATGTATCTACAATGAATTCATTAAATCAAGAAAAAGAATTATGTACAAGTAAATCTAATACAAATAATCGATTGGAAACACGTAAAATTTGGTCATTAGTTGATATGATGAATGAACAAAATAATTCACCAAATTCTAGACATGAATTATTCAATGATAAAATAACAATGAATATACATAATAATAATCCATGTGATAATTGGTCTTTAGAAGAAAATAAAGATTTACAACAACCTTCTAAGAATTTATGGAGAACTTCAAATGAATCATTTTCTTATCATCAAATGAAAATGAATACTACAATTACTGATTCTCCTGACATTAACCGAAATAATAATAATAATAATATAAATGATGACAGTATAAATCGGAAATTAATAGGGAACTCATTGTTTCCAACTACTTCAACCGGTAGTAGTAATAATAATAGTACTATTACTACCATTGATAGTAACATACACATTCCAAATGATTCATCATCTTTATTTTCTCCTAGTACATTAGCAGCATTTTATTTGTATTATCAACAAAATTTACAACGGGCACAAGAACAAAATCAATTAATCACAACCTCTTTATCACAACAATTTCCATTGACTGGACATCAACAAAAATCGAATGGACAAAAATTACCACCTCTAAATTCTCCTAATTTAAGTAACAATAATAATTTATTACATACTAAACCATTCCTACAATATGACGAACATTTTTCCAGCCTATTTCAGGGTAATAATACATTAAATTTGAATTTATTAAATAAAGAAACACAACAATATGCAAGATCATTATGTTTACATAAAAATCATTCAAATCAACAAGTAACCACTAGTCCAAGTGAAGAATCATGACAGTAGTATTGAAAATGAGTAAAGAATATTGTTGTGAAGTATTTGCATTCCAATTATTGAAGGTGAGTTGTTGTATGTATTTATTTTAAATAATCACACAAGCTAATTATGGTAACACGCTTCAAAAGTGATTCTTGTTTCAATTACTTTCAATGATATTTCACAAACAGTTAGTGTAATTATGCTCATAGGCTTTGACATAATTAAATATGGTGCCGAAGTTGAATACACAATATGAATTGGATAAAACTTCCAAAAACATTGTATATTGAAGTTCTTTGATTTTATAATTTTTAAATATTAATTATGATACTGAAGGAAAAGTCGTTTTTAACTTGAAAGTCAATTAATTTTGTAATTACCAGTTAGTGTTTATCATAGTGATTAGAACAGTTTGTTTAGTGTTATTCTTAAGGTTATTCAATTCTATTTTATGTATTAATACGAGTATATCCAGTTGAAAAGTTCCACAAATATCTAAAATCTCCTACTTATTAATTTTTAATTAACATTCAGGGTATTGAAATATCAAATTTTTCATCTCTCTGGAGAAGGTGACAACTCTTAATGACGTTTGAATGATATATGTCGCGTTCTATAAACTAATGGCTATTTGATTCGAAAAAAAATTTGTTATATATTGATCGACGATTGCTGACAACAGTTGTAAAATATCGCCCAAACATCATGTATTCAGTGTTTTGAATATGGTATTAACTTCACTTTTGATTTTTACTTTGATAATAAATAGTAACAAATTGAACATACGACGTGTTATATTTGATAAGAGGCAAAGTTTTTTTTCCTTTGTAAACTGCTACTTATACTTTTGAGTTTATCTTGAGTAATTATAAAATAACTTTTCAGCAACTACAAATGGGTATATACTACTCAAAGTCAGTGAAATGATGATAAATGTGCATTTTATTTAGCGACAAAAATAGATCAAAATGTGGATTTCAATGAACTTATTTAAATTGTATTGGTTTTAATTATTCCATTGTTGATATTTTGACTAAATATGGATGTGCACTACTGAAGAGTCCCGTATTAGGACGAAATGGTCGTTCTCTGTTTCTAGGTTTTCCAGGGTGGTCTAGCTTAAATCGACTCGTGAATTCAGCCATTAAATTTTGATCACTTGATAAATTAATTATTAAAGATTTCACTTACATTTCTTGATTTGATTACTTTTAAATGAGTAATACCCACCATTATGTAATCAGTAATTTGTTATATGAATTCAATTGATATAAGTCAAAAAATCAACAAAGCTAGATAATTTACTATGTCAAATGGAATACTTTCAACTAAGACACTACAGTACCACGATCAAAGATGCTAAAAATAAATTTGTGTTGCTCAGTAGAAAAACAAACTATTTGACTAAACTTTTATTTAAGAGAACCATATTTATATACCCGTGTTAATGAAGGACAAAATCGGCATTTGATTAAACTTGATGACATTAAAACGAATTCCATGTCAACCGCTTGAAATATCGTTAGCTGTCACTACTCGGTAACTAAAGAATTAGAAATAACATATTTGTTGGTCCTACTGTGAAAATATTCAAGACTAATTACAGTGTTTTAAATATCATACTCCATTAATTGAATATTTCTATATTGATTTATGGCATTGTCTTGGTGCATAAATTAACTCTCTCAAAAACAGACTACATTATATTTTTCTTATGTCCATCTACGTCAATAAATTTATGGGTGAACAAAATGAAGTAAATCACCAGTGACGAATTTTTCATAGATTCATTTTGTTTAAAGATAGTTTCATGAAACGAGACCACGAAACTTAAATGGAACCAGGAAATATTAAATGACTGAATTGTCATTCACTGACTACTCAGTATCAAAATATAATTACAATTGGTTCAGTCAACAACAGAGCAATGTTATGAATCGACTGCAAATCTTAACTTAGAATGAAGTACTATTCATTGTTGTTTGGATTTAAAATTGTTTCTAATTAATTTATCATAGTAACAATAAGAATGATTTTAAAGCACCAAGTTAATGTAAATCAACAGATAGGTAATTTCTTCTCCTTCAGAAGATAATTTTCAACATCAGACGAAATCTACTGAAAAGTCACTAGATATCAATAAGAAACTAACTAGTTATCTTACCTGGTATGTGTCTAACACCAGAATGAATTTCTTAAAGTCCCATTAAGAAGTCATACAGGATGAAGTTCAGGTGGATCAAGAATTTGACAGTTATTATCAATAGGATTGAGTGTTAACAACAGTCTATTGCGAAATGGTTGAAGACTGAAAAATAAACCATTGGGATTCTATTCAGTAGTTAAAGTGTACCATGCTAAATTCAAGACATGGAAGGTATTAGGTCCAATTTTTTACCGAGTCCCGCCTCAATACTATTGAGGAGTTCCAAACTGAGATAAAACACTACTTAAATAATTTTCCAGATAGTATTAATCTATGATGAAATCTACTCATAAATTGAAAAAAAATTTCCACAGATTGCTTGTCTCATTATTAAGCTACCTGTTTATAAACAGTTTTTCTATTCTTGTACTAATTCTCAATTTACTTTCTTTTATCTTTCGACATTATTTATAGACATGCAGAATTCAAATCAAATATACACTATCCGTTAATCTTCTTCCCCACCCCGCCAGGGTACCAATGAAACACATGTATACAACTAATCACAAACCCAAAAAAAACACAAAAAATAATTGAATAATCCTATCCAAGTTTTCAAAAAAATATTATTAAGGATATATACGTATAAATATACATAAAAATACATCTATTTTTTAGTTTCAATAAGCAGCAAATTATCCGCATAGCTTTATTAACATTTATTCTATTAAAATAGACATAATATTAGTTGGTCCCCAGGTTACAATTTATTTATCCTGTTGTCATTGTTTTATTCAGACTTTTGCCTACTGTTTTCTTTTCTCTCTATTTCTCATTCATTCATTCATTCATTGAACAGTAACCATTTCTATTCACATAATTATATCTTAATGGAATGGTATTGTATACGAACTGGAAATGACCATACTGTTTCTTTTCTCTTTTGTTCTTATACAACACTATGAAAAAAATATTATTTTTCAAATATATGTATAAATAAAAGTTGAAAAAAAAAACAAAATTGGATGTAAAATCTGTAAAACATGGATTTTTTTTTAATAGAAAAATGTCATGTGTATTTAGAACAAAATCAATTGCATATACAAGTTCTTATAAATATATCATTTTATCACTACTATTATTAGGCTTTTCAAAGAAAAATAATAGTCCGACGAAAGGTACTGAAGTTAGGTCGTTGTTGCTGTTGTTGTTGTTGTGGTGGTGGTGGTGGTGGTAGTAGTAGTAGTAGTAATGGTATTATGTGGTATTTCTGACAAATGATAAGTTATAAAAATATAAATGAAGCGGTTAGTTAGTGGTTCATAGTTTCCTATGTTTTTTTTTAATTGATATCAGTGTATCATTAAATTTGTTAGAAATCGGAGGAGATCTTCATGAAATCATCAAAATATGATTTGACCTAACTGAGAAATATTGCATCATATATTATGTCACACAAAATATTTTGATAACTGTGTCCAAGTGGGAATGAATATTAAGTTTAATTAGTTAGTTATGGGGAACAAACTAATCTAATAATCATGTTTAAATTATCATTAACTATTTTCTATTCTAATAAGAAACAACTTGAATATATCACAAATGATCATCGATTGGAAGGGATTGAAAAGTACATTTCAATTTCTTAAATGAGTAAAAACTTGAAACTACTTAGCGTGACCGCATAAAAAATTGAAAGTCTTAAAGATATAATTTAAATTTAAAATCAGAGAGGGGTTTTATGAATATTATAGTAATTTAATAGTTGAACTCATGAGTCGATTTGAGCTATACCACTATAGAAAACCAGAAGCACTGAACGGCCGTTTCGTCGTAACATAGTACTTCTCAGTACTGCGCATCCACGATCCCACACACGGAATTCCAACCCAGGACCTATTGGTCTCGCGCGCGAAAGTTTAACCTCCAAACCCCTGGACAAGCATCCAATGGTGTTAATGTCTAACTTCAACCAATCCACAAAATTGAGCGACACATCCACCATTGTCTTCAGTGAGTTACTGTTTCACAACAGACCCGATTGAGTTCTGGATTAAACAACTGAACTTCGATTATTCTTAGGCATGCAAAATTAATAATATATTCATCACAACTTCCATTGTAAGTCACTGCATTTATTAATATATTCCACAACAATTCAAACTCTTACTAATAACAAAACAAACACCATCCCCGTTGAATAAATTAATGGCTATCTAGACTTAGTAGCTCAATTCATAACGCGTTAGGAGTTTGATATAAAGGGTACTGGGTTCGAGTTCCAATGTGATCATCAGCACTGGGATACAGTTACGTTCAGCCGATGTGTCAAAAATAAACTGAAATTTGCCTCTTGTATTCTACTGCTAGCCACGACCTATATATTCTATAGAACTTGTAAAAAGTATATATATAGGACTCTTCAGATGATATGTACAGTTATAAAGGCTAATCGTAATTCAGTCAAAATATTAAGAACAGGTTAATTAAAACCCTTAACTCCGCCTGGAGTCCCTCCGGGGGCTACTGCCGGTCCCAAGCCCGGATAAAGGAGGAGGGTTGGGCATGGGGTTAGCGTCCCCATCCCGTAGAAAACTAACTCGCTAAAAAAACGCTAACCAGAAAAAATTATTCAAACCTTTTAAACTCTGCCCTGGGAGTCAGAAGGTCTTCATTTAGAAGAATTATGACGCCTCATGATGAAAGCCGAATTCCTTCGGAAGTTACGAGGCCGATGCCCCTTCTGACAACCAGAGCGACCATTTATTTAGGTACATGGAATGTTCGTACAATGTGGGACACCGGAAGAGCCTTCCAAATTGCTGCAGAAATGAGAAGATACAACCTAGAGGTACTTGGGATCAGTGAAACACATTGGACACAAGTTGGACAACAACGACTAACTACAGGAGAGCTCCTGTTATACTCCGGCCATGAAGAAGAAAATGCACCACATACACAAGGAGTTGCATTGATGCTGTCCAAACAAGCGCAAAATGCACTTATAGGATGGGAATCTCATGGACCAAGGATCATCAAAGCCTCGTTCAAAACAAAGAAAGAGGGCATTTCAATGAACATCATCCAATGCTATGCGCCTACCAACGACTACAATGAAGACGCTAAAGATCAATTCTACAATAGGCTGCAGTCAATCGTCGAGAAGTGCCCAACAAAGGACCTGACCATTCTGATGGGAGATTTCAACGCCAAGGTTGGAACGGACAACACTGGATATGAAGACATCATGGGACGACACGGACTGGGAGAAAGGAACGAAAATGGTGAGAGATTTGCAAATCTATGTGCCTTCAATAAGCTGGTCATAGGCGGCACCATATTCCCACATAAACGCATACACAAAACCACATGGACTTCACCGGATCACTCTACACAAAACCAAATCGACCATATTTGCATCAACAAAACGTTCAGGAGGACTATAGAGGACGTGAGAACCAAGAGAGGAGCTGATATAGCATCAGATCATCACTTACTGGTCGCCAAGATGAAATTGAAACTCAAGAAGCACTGGACAACGGGGCGGACAATATCACAAAAGTTCAATACGGCCTTTCTCCAGGATACTAACAAACTCAACAAATTCAAGATAGTCCTCAGCAACAAGTTCCAGGCCTTTCATGATCTACTCAATGGAGAAGGAACTACTGTGGAGAGCAACTGGAAGGGGATCAAAGAGGCAATCACTTCAACATGTCATGAGGTCCTGGGTCACAAGAAGCACCACCACAAGGAATGGATCACTGTTGATACACTGGATAAGATTCAAGAAAGAAGGAACAAGAAGGCAGCAATCAATACCAGTCGAACAAGAGCAGAAAAAGCCAAGGCACAAGCTGAATACACGGAAATAAACAAACAAGTGAAGAGGAGCATCAGAACCGACAAACGTAAATATGTGGAAGATTTAGCAACGACGGCGGAAAAGGCTGCAAGAGAAGGAAACATGAGACAATTGTATGACACGACAAAGAAACTCTCTGGAAATCGCCGCAAACCAGAACGACCAGTGAAAAGCAAGGAAGGCGAGGTAATCACCAACATTGAAGAGCAACAAAACAGGTGGGTAGAACACTTCAAAGAACTCTTGAATCGACCAGCTCCACTGAACCCACCCAACATCGAAGCAGCACCCACGGACCTCCCAATCAATGTTGGCCCACCAACAATTGAAGAAATCAGCATGGCCATCAGACAAATCAAGAGTGGCAAAGCAGCAGGACCGGACAACATTCCAGCAGAGGCACTAAAAGCAGACGTAGCGGCAACTGCAAGGATACTCCACATTCTCTTCAATAAAATTTGGGATGAGGAACAAGTACCAACAGACTGGAAAGAAGGACTTCTGATCAAAATACCGAAGAAAGGCGATCTCAGCAAGTGTGATAACTACAGGGGCATCACTCTTCTCTCAATACCGGGAAAAGTCTTCAACAGGGTATTGTTAAACAGGATGAAGGACTGCGTAGACGCCCAACTTCGTGACCAACAGGCAGGATTCCGTAAGGATAGATCGTGTACAGACCAAATCGCAACTCTACGGATCATTGTGGAACAATCAATTGAATGGAATTCATCACTCTACATCAACTTCATTGACTACGAAAAGGCATTTGATAGCGTGGACAGAACAACACTATGGAAACTTCTTCGACACTACGGCGTGCCTCAGAAGATAGTCAATATCATACAGAACTCATATGATGGATTACACTGCAAAATTGTGCATGGAGGACAGTTGACAAAGTCGTTCGAAGTGAAGACCGGTGTTAGGCAAGGTTGCTTACTCTCACCCTTTCTCTTTCTCCTGGTGATCGACTGGATCATGAAGACGTCAACGTCTGAAGGGAAGCGCGGGATACAATGGACATCTAAGATGCAGTTGGATGATCTAGACTTCGCAGACGATCTGGCCCTTCTATCCCAAACGCAACAACAGATGCAGGAGAAGACGAACAGTGTGGCAGCAGCCTCAGCAGCAGTAGGTCTCAATATACACAAAGGGAAAAGCAGGATTCTCCGATACAACACAGAATGCACCAATCCAATCACAATTGACGGAGAAGATTTGGAAGATGTAAAAACCTTTACATATTTGGGCAGCATCATTGATGAACAGGGTGGATCTGATGCAGATGTGAAGGCGCGGATCGGCAAAGCAAGAGCAGCATATTTACAACTGAGGAACATCTGGAACTCAAAGCAACTGTCAACCAACACCAAGGTCAGGATTTTCAATACAAATGTCAAGACAGTTCTACTGTATGGGGCAGAAACCTGGAGAACTACAAAAGCCATCATCCAGAAAATACAGGTGTTTATTAACAATTGTCTACGCAAAATACTTCAGATCCATTGGCCGGACACTATTAGCAACAACGTACTGTGGGAGAGAACAAACCAGATCCCAGCGGAGGAAGAAATCAGGAAGAAGCGCTGGAAGTGGATAGGACACACATTGAGGAAAGCACCCAACTGCGTCACAAGACAAGCCCTCACATGGAATCCTGAAGGTCAAAGGAAAAGAGGAAGACCAAAGAACACATTACGCCGAGAAATGGAGATAGACATGAGAAAAATGAACAAGAATTGGATGGAACTAGAAAAGAAGGCCCAGGACAGAGTGGGTTGGAGAATGCTGGTCAGCGGCCTATGCTCCATTGGGAGTAACAGGCGTAAGTAAGTAAGTAAGTAAGTAATTAAAACCCTTACCAACAGTGATATAACTCATTTTAGTCTTAATAATTAGCTTTTTTTGTTGTTGTTTCATATAAATAACTGGTTTTTATGTTTACTAAAAATATCGTTCTATTCGATGAACTTTATATGTTTAATAATGTACATGAAGTTTGAAATAGAAGGAAATACATCAAATGATCTCTCAGTAAGTGATTGAAATTAA